TATCCCGATTACCATTAAAATGAGGACACTATAAAAGGTATAATTCACAGCACGTGAAACCAGTAGTGGATATTAAGGCACAATTATTGTCTTGGAATACGGGACATCACTCAACCGATTTTAATAAAAACATAAATTGTGCTTGTTACATCTCCGAGTTCTTGGTGAAAATTCCGTTAAGCACGATACGCTGGTACGCTGGGTCAAGCGAGGGTGAAAACTGGATTTGCCCTCGGATATATGATCGTTTACGTGATCGATGGTTAATCCCAAAAGTAATGGAATGGAAAACGAGGATCCAGTTCCATTTAAGTCGAGGCCCAATTGATTGGCAACATTCAAACCACTCCCCAATGTGATTCGTCAAGTGGCAACCCATTAAATATTGACTTAAAGCATTCGTGACTGCAGGAATTCATATTGTTTGGATCTTCGGTAAAGTAACGTAAAGTAAAAAAAAAATACAAACTACGACGTTTCGATCGCAACACAAGCGAACGTCATCAGGTGGAAGAAAGGGGGCAGCCACAAGCTGTTTTTAAAGGTTTAAAATGGGTGTAGCCCAAGTGCCAGTTGTAGCCAATGTTACTTGTAGGAACCTCCTGGTTACACCAGCCCACAGGGGATTATTGTGTCCGTCCGTCCGTCGTGCATCCAAAAATGGGAGGGGTGGGGCTGGGTGGAGAGGGGAGGGTGGAGAGGGGCTGGGTGGGGAGGGTGGGGCTGGGTGGGGAGGGACTGGTCACCCTGTGGTGCCCTTATAAAACTCAACCTTTAACCTACTCACGCCAGCTTGTGCCCGCCCTCAGTCGGGCATATTTGCGGAATACACCACGCCGCCGTTGACCCTGGCCATTGACCGAGCAACCCAACGTTCCTAACAGCTCCCTCCGCAGGAATGTGTTTTTACCGAAAAATTTGAGACAGATGCCAGGCATCCACTCTACGTCCGTCCTTGTGGAAGAGGTACGTAGATGACATATTCATCATCTGGCCACATGGCCGAACAGCTCTGAACCAATTCCTCAACCATATCAATTCCATACACAAGATTCGTTCATGAAGCTATTCATATATAGACACAATTTCAACCGAGGATGGATACAAACTCAGCAATCATTGGAAGGATGTCGTCAACCAGTTCAAGTCATAACTGGCTGTGATGTTTCCATTCTGTCACCTTCCGATGTTAGTTTTATTTTACTGAAGATGGGACTAGCAATTCCAGTTCTTGCGGTGCCGCGCCCTACATTGGGCGTCCCACAAGTTGTTAATTTCTCCAGGGCTCATGCGTCTACTGTTCTCTTGATTCTCGGATTTCACATTAACATAATCGCCACTTATACCTCACCATGGTCGTTATGCCCCGCCAACTTCGTTGGGCGGTACACACCTAATAACGATCGCTTGTGTTGCGATCGAAACGTCGTAGTATTGTTTATTTTTTTACCTTTCTCCGTGACTTTATCGAAAGAGCCAAAGAATGACAACCCATTATATAGATTTTTTAAAATGTTTAACCCCAATCAGTCCACTGCTAAATGAATGCCTCAACATGCTCCGTCAGTCAAGGGACACGTCTCACAGCTCGTGAATCACGCTGATCAGTGCGGGTTGGTGAAGAACTGTTACACAACTCATGATTATCAAAAACGCAAAAAAATAAAATTCCAATCCCTAACTGTAACCCAGAATGTGAGCAGTATTGGAGCCGCGTCTGATACAGACAACGAATTCTTCCCAAAAACAGTGCAGCCTACTCGTATAAATTAAGGCACGCACAGGCTCAATGTATGTTGAACTTCTTTTGCACCATACGAAGGGCCGGATTAAGGTTCTTGTAGGCCCTAAACACTTGTTTCGTAGGCCTTCAGTGATAACTTTCTCCAGCCGGTACTGCTGCTGCCCATATAACTACCGCCACTGTCACTCGCTTGTTTCACGCAGACTTCGTCCAGCCGCTGGACACACGTCGTTACTGCTATATTAATTATTTATTCTGTGCCCTCATTCGAAGGGAGCAAGCCGTGTGCCGCAAGATTTAATTTGAAAAACTGCCGATCCTTGCTATATATTTATTCAAGATGATATCTTGGTTACATTTGTTATCATACAAACAAAAAAATACATGGTCAACATTTTTTTTTCGTAGGCCCTTGGAGTTTTCGGCCCCTGACCGTAGACAGCCCAACCGTGCTAATCCGAGGTGCCAACCGTGCTAAGAATATTTGGAATACACGTACACACCCACAGCAAGTTGATGCTTTATTTACACATTTAAATATATATATGCTGTCACGAAGATACATTTTAGAGGGACATTAGACAGTATAGCACTACAACTTTCTACAGAAGAAATTGACAATACAATAAAAATTACAGCGTTCCGAAAGGGCATTTAAAATTGATCTGTTTTGTTTTAAAAATACATACTCAAATATTAGTTTTTTTTATATAATCTGTTTGCAAAACAAAAAAATCGAACTCATTCTTTACAGAGCTTCCTGGAGTATTATACTATAACGCACACAGACCTCTCTAAGTGTTGAGAATTATCAACACCACCACCCTCAGAACACAAAGGATCGTACACACACACATACACACTCGCACAACTAACAATATTTTTTACATAGCGCCTTTCACAGTAATTAACCTGCTATCCATCCTAGCACGCAATGTTTCAGGTTTATGGTGCTATTTATTTTCAATTCAGCACCAGTGTGCGGTCTTTATAAGACGGCTTTCTGCCAACTTATAACATCAAATATTCATTGAGGTCCGTTGCAATCTTTTTGTTTGAATAGCCCTGCGATGTATTTTTTTAGATGTTTGTGTTGTTGTTCAGCATGATGTCCGACGTTTCGCACCACATTCTGGGAGCTTCTTGAGGTACAGTTCTTGAAGAAGCTCCTAGCACTTCATGGCAAAGCTAGAGAGATTTTAAAAGGTCACTTACTGCCGAGTAAGTTTAGCCATATCCACACAAATCACCGAATATGCGGTTAATGCATGAGTGTAAAATAGACACTCCTGTGTGCGACTAACATAACGTCACACTGCCCAAAATAAACTTATGGCAGCGTATCTGCAATTGAACAACTCTTAAAGAAAGAAAATGGGCAAATCACCTATGAGCGAACATCGAGTAGTCCTGCTTCATCGGCCACATAAAATAAGTAAACAGCCACCTACTGTTAATTTACTCAACTAGAGCTGAAATTTAGAAAACAGGCACACAATCTGGGGGTCATCCTGGGTTCTGAGCTGACCTATTCTCACCACACATTTCACCTGTCAGACTACCAATTTACATCTTCGCAAGATATCCCCTGCATTCGAAATTGCCTCTCACACCGCTGCTGAACCGATCATTCGTGTATTCGTTAATCTCCAGGCTTGATGACTGTAATGAATAAGCGTAGTTTATAATACGCACAAGATCCACGGACGTAAATGACCGTGACTCTAATCCCCTCCTTATATGGCCATTCCGCGTTTTGTCATTCATTGACTCAAATATGTTCAAAATACCACTGCAACAGCTCTTAATCATAGCCATGAACGTCATCACATTACCTACACCCGCCAGCTTATGTTCACTTCATTGGCTTCCCCCCTCCCCCCATCCACTATGAAATAAAATTTAGGATCACACTTAGTGTTTTAAATCTTGCACGGACTCTCCCTCGCTCATCTCTTTCCCCCTCTCATTTCTGCCTCCGCCACTGCCCGTGACCTTCGCTCATCTGGCCTGGAGTTGCTAACTACACCCAAGAAGAAAATTACTACAGGCGGACGAGCGTTTACATTTTCATCCCCCTCAAGTCTGCATTGGCACCACTTCCACTTCATACCCGCCAGATTCCACTCCAAAGTGTAAATCCTGGTTTAAAAACATTTTATTCACCTCCGAATGTCTTGGTTGTGGAGAGTGTGCGTCTTTAAACGACTTAACGGGTAGTTGTTTGACTGCCACCCGCCCTAAGGATTTTACCCCTGGCCTGTGCCTGAGGAGCTGGGATAAACTTCCTGGTGTTGGTTTGTGGGTTGATGTTCTCGGCTGGCAGCGTGAGCTGCTGAGCGTTTGACCTGGTTCGCACTACAAGCAACTTTTTAGACACCTTTTAGACTCTCTCCTAGCCTAGTACTTGTAATTTGCATGATGTACTTAATAAATCCTGTTCAGTGGTCTTTCTGTTTAGGATTTCTTTGCACCTTTTTACGTAAAACTTAAATATAGTATGGCGTTTTGAGATACAACAGTATGAATGACGCTATATAAAATTAGATTATTAATTCTTATCATCGTTAAATAAAGGATATGTATGTCTGAGGTGTTGAAGTGTTGTTGTGTTGTCGGTGTCTGATGTGCGAGTGTTGACGTCTGCAGTGTCATAGTGTGGCATGTGTATTGTGTTTTAGTGTGGTGCTGTCGTGTGGATGTCTGTGGTGATGGTGATGTATGGCATCGTAATGTGGGTGTTTGTCATTTTCTACGAGATGTGGTCAATGAGTACGGGATGTGGCGTGGATGCGGACTATTAGGGCAGTGTGCGTATGTGCAGAAAGCAGTGGTGGATTGTGTGCGGTGGCGTGTGTGTGTCAGACGCTATCAAGATGTCTGCCTTGGTGTGTGAAAGCTACGTGGATGTGTGTGGTGGCATGGATGTGTAATGCTGTGTGTGGTGTGTCGCTCTGTGGTTGTGTCGCTCTATCGGGAGTGGTAGTGTAGCGGTTGGTGCGTTGCGCTCAAACCCGGCGTCCCGAGTTCGATTCCCGCTCACGGCCAACGCCAGTGACGATTATCTGAACCTGTTTTAGATCTCTCCTAGGTCTGCTCAGCCTCAAATTAGTATCTGGTGCGGTGTTGAAAATCTCGCCACTGAGCAGACAAAGGCGGCCGGGCATGGTCCTGGCCACCCACCACCTCGTGTGCCGTGCTGGCCATCATAGGTGCTCAATAACGGCACTTGCCCCAACAGTCTGTTAAGGCTATACGGGGGGCATATCTTTGTCTTTGTCGCTCTGTGGTTGTGTACGGTGGACGTGTGTGTGACGTTACGTGGACGAGTACGGTTGCGTGAGTGCGTGTGCGTGACATTGTTGTTGTTGTACATGGCGACACAGGGCAGAACTGTGGTCACGGTCTCTCCCACTCTGCCTCGGTGAGGTTGGAGGCGAACGCGTGCAGGTTTCCCATCTGGCTCAGGCCACTCTGGATGTGCGCCACGTGGATCTCCACGTTGTTCTGAAAGCAACTGGAGCAGCACAAATCGCACGCGAGTAAAATCTCCGTTAACCACCGCCACCCCCCCAGTCGCAGCAACGTAGACCAATTAGGCAAACGCGCGCCGATTTGTTCGCTGCCCGTGTCAATTTTAATAAGCAACAGCGCCTCCGCTCAAAATCCCCCAGAATGCACCCGACCTCGTCAGACCTCGGGTTGAGCCCGGATAGTGCCTGGTTAGGTGGCCTTTACGGCCTGCTGAGGGGCTATGCTGTCAGCAGAGAGCAGTGCAAGCAACCCAACATCCATGCTCCCCAAGCCTTCACAAGTGACGCTGACCGACGTGGTCAGGTATGGTGAAATATCCCCCCCCGACCTGCACAACGTGAGGAGGATGGAGGGAAGGGGTGGGGAGGGCCATCATCCAGCTGTGGATTTGACCAAAGGGCTGCAGATGTACTTTGCAAGAGCAGTCAACTTCAAGGCAACCGTTGCTATAAAGTAGACAACAAAAGTCAAGTCCGTGTCGCAGCGGTGAAATTTCCACAACAGTACGGGTGGATGCGCTGAATTACAAGGATAACGACGGGATGATTCGTCACACGAGCTCTATATTTATATATCGCACCAACAAGCCGCGTAAGAACATTTAGAAACTATAACAGCGCAAATAACGCCTATGTTAAAGACCTGATGCTATGCGATTCTGTGCCGCAAGTCCGTTAATAATGAAAACGAGCACACTAGGCGTTTTCTCGCCATGCTTATATCACAAATACGCTATGTTCTATAGACTGATTTAGTCTTCCGATGCATGGTGATGTTGCAGACAACGTTCACATTCAGTAAATGTGGGACCGTGACGACGGCACACACGTTGCCGACGCCAATTCAAATAACGTAACAGGATCTTTAACGTTTAAACTGTGAAGCAGACGGCAATCATTTTTGGTTAACACACTTTAGATGCGGGAGGAAACCAGAACACCTAGATCACTATCTCTCCCCCCTGCCCCCCGCACTGATAGAGCTTAGTCCAGACTTTTCTGTACTGCCATCCCTCGGCAGAACTACAGTTACGGCATCTTCTCGACGCCCACTGGGAGGGAGCCGGAACCGATGAAGAGGAGTCCACTTGCCAGGGTTTATAGGCCACTCAATGCCGACGGGAAAGGAATTTTCACAAGATTCGTGTGATCCAACAACCCTCTCCAACTGTGCTAGATTGCAGGCAAGAGGTGGCGGCCTCTGAAACGTGAACATCTCTGGATCAGAATACAGTAAAACCTTGGATTGCGAGTAACTTGGTCTGCGAGTGTTTTGCCAGACGAGCAAATTTTTTAAATAAATATTAATTTGATAAACGAGCGAGGTCTTGCAATACGAGTAGTACGTATACGCTTTGTCTGCCGAGCGTCACGTGATCACAACTGATATACGAGTGCTTTGATATACGAGTGCTTTGGATTACAAACACGTTTCCGGAACGAATTATGCTCGCAATCCAAGGTTTTACTGTATTTATTTATACTGGATGAAGGCAATGAGCTACACAGCCCTTTTCACAGACGCAACGGGCGGGCAAACGCAATACCGCTCTTGCCACATCATATGGTGTGATGTGATCTTCCCCGCCTGGTATACAGGAGTTCGTGGGTTCAATCCCGACCCCTGTATATTTGGAGTTTGCATGTTCTCCCTGTGGTCGCGTGGATTTTTTGTTATCCGGGTCCCCCGGTTTTTCCCCTCCACATTCAGAAACATCCATTGAGATTATTTTGATTATTTTGGTGCTATAAACGTCCAAATTAAGGGCCACTTTCTTGAGCTATTATGTGTGGCCAGGTCGCTTATGAAAAATAAGTTAATACCTCAGTGGGCTTTGGTTTAGTGTTTTGTATTTGTAAGTGTTAAGGTGATTTGTTGACCTTTCTTGTACTTTGCAGTACTATCGTGTTTTTGTACTGTTTGTTGTTGTAACGTTCTTACCCGCCCCTACTGGACATCTGAAAAAGAGCTTTATAGCTCATCAGATTCCCCCAGTAGAAATAAATATTGTGATTCTGGACAGCCAGACGAAACACACCGATGACAAATTATCTCTTGAAATCAACACTACCCCCCTCACGTGCCCGAGTATCACCTGATGTTGGTAGGGTCCAGCGAGCTGCGGATTTCGTCCAACGAGTCTGTCAGAGACTTAAATTCAAACGAGTTGAGGTCACTCTCCGCCAGCCTCTGTGTCGGGGAGGGGGCAGGCGGGAAGAAAAGCGATCAGACCGCTTTGCTCTGTAAGCACATTTCGTCTTTCGCGTATAACTTAAATCAATAATGGGTTTTAACACGTAGGCTTTCGAGACCAATATTACCTACAAGAGGATTTTTTTGGGTTAGATCGCGCAAATATAAATGTGTCGTTAAACCCGCCACCACCCGACACAGCCAATTAGTAAGATTTGTCAAGCAAACAAAACGTGTCAATTACGCAAGCGCGCGCGCGCGCTTCCTCGCACCTTGATCTGCAGGAGGAGCGCCGAGAGCCGAGCCACCAGCTCCCTGAGTCCCTCTGTGTCATCCCCGGATGCCACGCGCTCCCCAGCTCCTCCCCCTCCCGTTGTAATCGCCGACGTGGCACCACCGCGTCCCACCCCCGACCTGCCGACATCTCTCACCATCTCCTGCGCCTCCTCCAGGCACTGGCGCCGCATCTCCGTCGGCTGGTCCATGGGCTGCAGGCCCTGCTGGGGGGCTAGCTGTACGAGCGCATGTGCCAACACGAAGAACACCCCCCCGCCCCCCCCCCCGCCATTATGGAAATGTCACACATCATGTCGAGGGAAAGCAACACATCCCGGAAATGCACCGGACCGCGAGACAAAATTTTCCGCGGAGTTACAGCTGTGAGTAGCTGCACCTGGTAGCAGTACTGCTGCACGTTGAGCAGGATGTGATTGAGGTCCTTGTTGAGGTTCTCCAGGCCCAGCACGATGGTGGCATACCGCTTCTGGAAGTCGATCCCGAATGGCTCCGAATACGACCGCTGCAACGCAACAGCACAACCGCTCAATCACGTGACCGTTCACAAACTCTTCACCACGCAGTCACGAAACCCGACACACAACTGTACGATGGCACTCGAATAAACATTCGAGCGTGCATTCGCAACAATCACACGCTCATCGGTCAAACACAAATCCTCGACATCCAAGCAACCCCGAATCCGCTCTACCGCATGATCACACGCGCACACAAACCCTCAGCTGCACAACTGCTCCACCACACGATCACGTGATCTCGCTTGCACACAAACCATCCTCCAGTCTAAATATTCTGATCAACAATGCAACCGACTACGCGGCCTTATGCACAAAACGACGTCACACACAGAGGTATGTCGTGTGGGGGGCGCCAGTGGTGAGTTGTTAACTACCTCGCCTGGTATGCAGGAGGTCGTGGGTTCGATCCGAACCCTGACGCCTGCTGTATATTTGGAGTTTGCGTGTTCTCCCTTGTGGTCATGGATTTTTCTCCGGGGCCTCCGGTTTTTCCTTCCACATTTAGAACATGTATTTAGAGTATTTGGCTACTATAAATTTCCACTTGATAAGCCACTTGTTTGAGCTATCATTTGTGGCCAGGTCCCTTCTGAAAAAGAGATATATAGCTCAGTGAGCCTTACCTGGTAAATTAAAAAGTGGAGTTAAATAAAAAAAAGTTTATAGTTTAGTGTGACGGTCTCTTACCAGCTTCTCGCCCTCCGTGTTCATCTCCTTGAGCTGTTTGATGTAATCTTTCTTCGTCATCAGGATTTTGGACAGCCGCGTCTGCACAGCAGGGACGGAGGTAGGGACAGAGGGGTCATGACAGGAACAGGGCACGGTGCAATAATTCCAAACCATACATCTCCTGCGCCCGTCCCTCTTGGGCGCCTTTTCCTTCCTTTGGCTGCCACTCCGTCAATCATCTCAGCCATAACGTGTCCTGGCCAAGCACAACCACTTTTCTTCCTAATTAATTTGATTTACCCAAAGTACACTTGTTGGCAAATAAATGCACTCCTCCTCTTCCTGTTCCTCAGAGTGATGTGGCCCCGAGCAGTAGGCGCTTGTTATTACCGGAGGTGTAACAACCCTAAAATATACGCCGCAAGCTGTAGAGTAGACAATACAGGTCACCTGACGTCACTCGAAAGATGAGTGTGACATTGTGTGCCGGCGCGGTCGCCCAAAATTCTAAAAATGTACCTGCAAATTACTCAATTGGAACTACGCAAAGCAACATTGTCTCCGAATGACTGTGAAACACAGCGCCTTCATGACAGCCTTCCACTATAAGAATTGGGCAAAGCCTACGTGTAATCAAATCATTATTATTTCCAAACAGGCATCTGGAGTAATAAGCTGTGCTGCTGCTGTTGCTGCCGGTCGAGGTTATTGTTGTTGCGTGGCCAAATGGGCATCGTTACGCGCTGCCTCTCACTCACGCGCCCGTGCGTGCGTGAACTCACGACTTGAACGAGAAAGTTGATGGGGAAGCCGCCGAGGATATTGCTGTCCGGCCCGGGTGCCCCGAGGCGAGATTTCCACTCGACTTGGCCCAGCAGCGGGTCCTGGGTGACACAACAAAGACAATTATCCCCTGTGTAGCCTTAAGGTCCTGGGTGACACAACAAAGACAATTATCCCCTGTGTAGCCTTAACAGACTGTTGGGGCAAGTGCTGTTAGCGAGCACCTATGAAGGCTGGCACGGCACACGAGGGGGTGGGTGGCCAGCACCACGCCCGGCCGCCTTTGTCTCCCCAGTCGCGATGTTTACCACACGCCTCATTTGAGGTCGAGTCGACCGGTTCAGATAATCGTCACTGGTGTTGGCCGTGAGCGGGAATTGAACTTGGGTAGCCAGGGTTCAAAGAGCAATGCGCATGCGTGCAACTGCATTGGAGTGCGTGCGTACGTGAACCTGTTTTATACACACAAGCAGTGTAAAGGTGGCACAGTGGTAAGCTCACCGTGCTACGAACGCAACAACCTCTCCGTTCGACTCCCAGCACAGCTAACATATGTGGCAAATATTTGAAACAGTCCTGCAGCCTTCCCAAGGTCTGCCCAGCCTTAAAATGAGCATCCGGTGTGGTCAATTAATATCAAGTGCCATGCTTGCCTCACAGCACTTCTCAAGTCTGTTTGGCTGAGTGCGCATTTGCATGTGTGTGTGCATGCGACGCATTTGGTACAGTAGAGGGCACAGGTGGTGCATCGGCCAGTCCGCTCAATCAGTCAACCCGTGGCACCTGGGTCTGCCCCGTGCCCTCCTGCCAGCGGGCGTTCGACACGTCACATGGCCTTAACGTGCACATAGCCTGGCACAAGCGCCGTGGTGAGGTCACCTCCACTTAGCGGCGAATGGTGGTTGTTGTTATGCGACGATATCAGCACCGTGGGGAAGCCCCCCCCCCCCCCCCGCCCCCAGAGCGCCGAGCCGGCCTTCATAGGTGCTTGCAAACGGCACTCGTCCCAATAATCTCCGCAGGTTACGTGGCGCGGGAGGGAAGTTTGTACTTGTGCGTGTAAACGTGCGTAAGCGCGGATCGTACCGCGAGCGGGGAGGCCAACACCATGGAGCTGTAGTGCACACGTGGCGGGCTGTTGAAGGTTTTTACGGGACGCTGCTTTTGCGCAAACGACGAGATGGGCATGCTGTCCTGCGGCTCGTTGCTCTGCGGGAGGGAGGAGGGTAAATGTTTAAAACAAACAATAAACGACATGGTGAACGAAGCAAGGTGCCGAGTAACCGATATTTTTTTTTTGCTTCTTCTATATTGGGAAGAGGGAGGGAGGGAAGGAGGGAGGGAGGGAGGTGGCTTAGAAGTCAGAATGCCGAGCTGGCATTGCTCAGATCTTGAGGTTTGAATCGTGGCAGACGCGTATGATTAAAAACCAGGTTCAAGGTGCAGCAGCAGTGTTGATGGTCTCAGCTCGACGACACAAAAGAAATACCATCCCCAATAAAGTTGGATCTGCAACATAATTTGGTTATGTTCCAGCTCGAAAAATGGAAAATATCGGTTTGACTGTCGTGGGATCAACGTGTTACTCTCAGTGCCAGAGCTGGTGGGAAAGTGATGCCCCCTACTGTGTTGAACAGAGGTCATTTGAAGGGATCTCAGAAGTAGCTCTGCGACATCTGCTTCCATGGACCGTTTCTCTAACACGAAGGGTTGCGCTGGTCTGTGATTCTCGGTCTCGCCAAATATTATTGCCTTGATTCAAGGGCACCAAAATAAGAAAAACTGCTGCAAGAGAGAGAATGGGTCCTCGTGCCATGGGCTGCAGAAATGGGCCCGTTGACGGGCATGTCATGACGATATATGGGAAACAGAATTATGGTTAGAGACAACGTTAGGTTTCATCTTCTTTGGTTCTTTCGGCAAAGTCACGTAGAATGAGAATAAAATAACATAATAAAATAACACAATAAAATTCTCACGACGTTGTGGCCGAAACGTCGTGAGAATTTTATCGTGTTATTTTATTTTATTCTCACTCTACGTGACTTTACCGAAAGAACCAAAGAAGATGAATCCTTGCAGTCACGAAAGCTTTAAATCGAAATTTAACGTTAGGTCTGTTTAACATGCAGGCTTTCGCGACCAATATCATAAAGGTTTTGGGGCGAGATCGCGTAAGTATAATTCTAAATGTTGTGGAATTACTCTCCAACAACGATGGGATGAAGTAGTAACTAAGTGGCACGTTTTGTTTACACGACAAACCTTAGTGGCTGTCGGGTGGTGGATGGTTACGACACATTTGTACTTACGCGATCTAACCCAAAAACCTGTATTATGAACATCAAGGTCTACTGATTGGCTGGAGCAGCGGTATTTTGCATGATAAAGAGGACTGTTAAATATGGGAAGACGTTAACTCAAGTGGGATTTAAGAAATACAGCATGGATCCAGTGTTCCTCGGGTACCGTATTACCCATTCACGTAATCACCTACCTCAAACAACTTTCCCACCCAAAACCCACCGACCTCTCTCAACCCAACAAACTGCCACCTCAACCATCCAACTACCCACTCACCCATCCAACCATCCACTCACCTGTACAACCAACCACTCACCTCCCTCGCCTGCCAAATCACTCGCCAATATGTATGGGGGGTGGGTAGTCTACCCTCCCCCCTCCCCCCTCCCCCCCCACCCCCTCCCCCCCCCCACCCCCTCCCCCCCCGTGTACGTACGACGACTTCGATGTCGGGGATGGTGTGCGTGCCGAGGCCCGGGCGATCGAAGGTTACGCGGTAGGTGGCTTTGATGGTGTCGACCGCGTCGATCTGCCCCGTGAAGAGCCCGTCGTGCTGACCCCGCAGGCGCGCTGCTCACACACAACGCGAAAACTATTAAAATATTTCTTGTTTTACCAGGTAGAGGCCCCACTGAGCTATACAGCTCGTTTTAAGAAGCAACCTGGCCATCACAAAATGATAGCACAACAAAGTGGCTTATCACGTGGAAATTTATAACAGCCAAATACTCAAAACACACGTTTATTATTATAAATGGTGAGGGAAAAACCGGAAGACCTGGAGAATAATCCAGGCGACCACGAAGAGAACATGCAAACTCTAAATATACAGGCATCAGGGTAGGGATCGAACCCACGACCTCCTGGATACCAGGCAAGGGAGTAACATCTCGCCACCGCGGTGCTCAAAGACAAAGATCCCCCCCCCCATATGGCTTCAACAGACGATTCAGCCAAGTGCTGTTAGCGAGTAGCACCTATGAAGTTCGGATCGGCATACGCGGGGGGGGGGGGGGGGGGGGTGGAGGGGCGGTTGTGGCCAGCACCATCTCCGATGGCCTTTGTCTTCCGAGTGGCAATGTTTTTTTACACACCGCACCAGGTACTCAATAGAGGGCGAGTCGACCTAGGGAAGGCCCAGGACCAGTTCAGATAATCGTCACTGGTGTTGGCCGTGAGCGGGGAATCGAACTCAAGTCGCCAGGTTCATAACGCTGCGCGCTAACCGCTACACTACCTCTCCCCACGCACGTACACACACGCGTGCACACGCACACCAAAGCATAAACCATCACGTGAACTATGGTCATCCTCGCAGCAGCTTTTGGTTGACCATTGAAAAAATACGGTCACTGCATCGCACGCTTTCAGATGCGCTTTCGTGGCCGTCTGGAATGCTCTTCCTTCCGATATTAGGAAGCCACTGGAACTATGCACTTTTAAATCATCTAGATTGAAAACGAATTTCTGTAGAACTACTTTGTGTGTTAGTTTGTTGTTCCCACGCACTTCTGATTAGCACGGTTGGCTACGTACCGTGCAAAAAAAATTCAACATAGATACCAAAGACAAACATCCCCCATATAGCCTGAAATAGACTGTTGGGGTAAGTGCTGTTAGCGAGCACCTATAAAGGCCGTACGGTGCACGAGGGGGGCAGGTGTGGCTAGCACCACATAGGGCCACCTTTGTCTCCCCAGTGGTAATGTTTTGCTCAATGCACCGGGTACTCATTTAAAGCTGAGTCGACCTCGAAGAGGTCCAGGACAGGTTCAAATATTCGACACGAACTCAGCTCACTGGAGTTCGTAGAGCAGTGCACTAACCACTACACTACTGGTCCCCATCGCGCGTGCACCACACAAATGCCAGATTATCACATTAGTTTTGAGTTGACTGAGCAGAGGACCCCATAGTTAGGTTCAGAGACCACTTGGCACATATCAGAAGCAATTTTTTTCTCTCAGTCACTATGGCACCGTCCCACATATACAGCAGGCATGTGAGAACGGCTCCATTAAAATCGATTCTTACGATCACGATAGATGCATCAAATTGTACGCACGCAATCATCAATTATTAATTAAAGCGACACATGAACGACGTGTTACCTGTGACTTTGGTGCCGATGACGAGCGGGAGCGGGATTTCCTCGGGCAGCTCCTTGAAGGAGCTCAGGTCAGTCACCTTCTGCTGCTGCAGCTGCCGGATCTTGTGCCTCTTCTGGAGGAGGGCCGTTCGCTCCTCCGCGAAGAAAGCCTCCGAACACCTGGCACACACGGTCAAAGCACCCGGTCACAACCTTCGACCCAGCGCACGGACGCTCGGTCTCCGCTCCTGCCCCCCCCGCAATTGTCTGGAACGACCTCCCTTCTCCCCTGGCCATCCGTGCCGTCGACTCCCCTGCCTCATTTAAGCTCCTTCCCTCCCTCTCTGCCTCTCATCTCACTCTACGCCCATCGGCGTACGCTCCTTCCCCTTCCCTCTCTCATCTTACTCCACTTCCCTCATCCATGTAATCTCCTACCTCTTCCCTCTCATTACACTCTCGTACCTCTCGCCTCGGACCGAAATCTCTCTAGAAAGTAATTACGTCCACTATTCGTCATGCAGAATTTTGAGATGCGGTTGCATGTGCACCAGGCACGTGCGGCACGTGCGAGTCACGTGTGCGTGCTAGTCGCGTGTGCTAGCATGTGTAATAACCTCTTGTCTGTGTTTATGCCATTGTGCACTAGGCCCATACATGCCAGCACATGAACAGGGTGCGAAAGCCGTGTACGGGCACATGCTCGTGTGCGCTAGCCGTGTGTGCTAGCTCGCATGTGCTAGCTGTCTGCGTTAAGCGTGCGTGCGAGCTAGCGTGTGTGCGAGCTGGCATGCGCTAGCTGTGTGCGTTAACCGTGCGTGCGAGCTAGCGTGCACTAGGGGTGCGCACAAGCCAGCGTGCGCACGAGGGGGTATGCGCGAGCTGGCGTGTGCGCGAGCTGGCGTGTGCGCGAGCTGGTCTGTGCGCGAGTTGGCGTGTGCTAGCTGTGTGCGTTAACCGTGCGTGCGAGCTAGCGTGCGCGCGAGCCAGCACGAGCTAGCGTGCACGAGCTAGCGTGCACCTAGGGGTGCGCACAAGCCAGCGTGCGCACGACGGGGGATGCGCGAGCTGGCGTGTGCGCGAGGTGGCGTGTGCACGAGCTGGCGCGTGCCAGGGGTGTGCGCGTGAGCGTACCGCCGTGGCTTGCCCATGAGCCGCCGCACCTTCCCCCACTCGACGCGGGAGAGGCGTCTCGTCCGCAGCTGAGGGAACGACTCCTTGAGGCACACGCAGAAGTCATTGTCGCCCTCGAAGAGAGGCCTGCCCGGCGTCATGGAGGAGCGCGAGAAAACGGCAGACACACACACCACCCTTGGGCACAAGTTTTCACCAGCAACAAAAGTAACTGAAAATCATTATTATTATTTTAAAATCTAGTTTTGATTTTACCAGGTAAGGCCCACTGAGCTCAACAGCTCTTTTTCATAAGCGAATCTGACCATCACAAATGATAGCTTGAAAGAGTGGCTTATCACGTGGAAATGTATAGCAACCAAATACTTGAACCAGAGGACCCGGAGGAAAAAACAATGCTACCACAGAGAGAACACGCAAACTCGAAATATGGCATCAGAGTTGGGATCGAACCCACGACCTCCTGTAATCCAAAGCGAGGTAAGTTAACACCTCGCCACCGTGTCGCCCCGTCAAGAACGCAAGTGAGCAATTCAGTTTGTGGAAAAAAAATCTTATTCGTCAATAACTCTGAAGCCTAAAAAGGATACAAATGTATTCTATGGGTCTTTCGGTAAAGTCACGTAGATAGGTTCAAATAAAATACAACAAACTACGACGTTTCGATCGCAACATAAGCGGTCGTCATCTGATGCCGTCGTGGTTTTTTGTTATTTTCTTTGAACCTATCTACGTGACTTTAGCGAAAGACCCATATAATATTAATTCCTGCAGTCACGAAAGCTTTAAGCCAGGATAAAAAATTTAAAAATAGTTGACATTTTGGGTAATGTCCCATCTTCAAATGCTATAATAAAGGGCCATTGCCTAAAATATCGCCTATTATATACTTTTTCTTTCAAGGCCACATTGTTATTCATGAATTTTGGAGATTTTTTTTGTGCTTGAGCACCGCTGTCAATGCAACAGCATCGCCAAATAATTTGCTTATATACTCCATGGGCAATTCTGAGCCGGTGTAGAAAATCCTACAATGCTACAGCAGGGGTCAGTATCTCGATAAGCCAAATCACTGTCAACTTCCAGGAAGTGCTACTTATTGGAAAATACTGCAACAATCACGGTTAAAATGCGCTCACACCACATTTGAAGGGAACCAAGAGGCCACTTGCGGCTATGCTGGGGAAATATTAGGATTGACCATATGCCCATCCACGCTGGTATGGGCCAAAAACTCTACGTCCCATAAACCGATCGCGACAAAACTTGCCATGCATCCTACAGATGCAACGCCCAGAATCCATAACACAAGTCTTCAACCAACAAGTCACTCTAAAAAAATATTTCACATTTACTTTTTATTTTACCAGGCAAGGCCCACTAAAATAGCTTTTAGGCACATCTGTCAATGCAACACTTGCAAGCATTTGCTAATTCTATGAAAATAGGAATAGGTTTAACCCTTTCTGGCAATAAAACAGGTGTGTTAAGATGTTCAAACACCAAATAGAAAACTTTAGCAAGGAATCAAGTCTGCATTAACCACACGTACTTGTGGCGAACATGCAAACATCCTCTGATAATATTTGGTAATGCTTTTGTTTGTAAACAACGCAACTTTGTGTGCCAGCATAATAAAAACATGTGAATCAATACGCATGCGTGTGGTGCATTAGCATGTGGATTAATTAACACGTGCGCCTATGTGGCTGCACCCGTGCGCGCGTTATTCGAACGCGTGCACGCCTGCAAGGGTGCGCGTGTGTGTGTGTCCAAGAGAGAGTGCCACACTTACTTGTCTATGTTGGAGTAGAACCACTCGTAGATGCACCACTTGTGAGCCTTGGGCAGCTTGAGGAGGTTACGGAGACGGATGCCGACCTTCTGCGCGCTGCGTTTGTCTGGAGTGGTGAGACCCGCAGACAACTTCTGCAACAGGGCACAGGGGTGGGGTGGAGGGGAGTGCAAAGTTTTGAAACTCCCTTCACCACCATCTCCATTACTACCGCCTTAGCATGGAAATACGTGGCAGTCTCATCGTACTCCACGCAATGGACCTACTTTTCAGGGCAGAAATATAGAGACGTCAGAAGGCTTTGAATGCCATGCAGTTGGATAATGTGTTTTAAAAAGTGGTGCCTGGAAAACACCGAAAGACTGGAAAAAGTTTAAATACAGCCTTGTATATTATGTACGTTGAGCTTATTTTGCACCGTACGTAGCTAACCATGCTAATCGGAGGTGTGGCGAAGAATAAGAAAACGGAACACAAAAAGCATTTTAAAGAAATTAATTTTAAAATTTTTTATAAGAGGTAAAATATTTTTTACGAGATGGAACGTTTTCGAATTTTTTTTTACCTCCAAACAAAGCTCCTGGTATCATCAGATCTCATAAACTATGCTCCATGCCTTCACCAACCCACATTTAAATTACTTAATTATCCAGGAAAGCCACACTGAATGGTAGGACTATTTCAGGAGGGTCCTGTTACATTGGGTTTTTATTTTAAGATTGTTTTAGCCGATTAACGATGAGTGTGTTTATACGTGTAGCAGGAAACCAGAGCACCTGGAGAAAATTCACGTGCGCTAGAGGTGGGGGGGGGGGGGGGCAACGCTCTATCCTCGTACAGATGGAAACAGATGGCCATCAGATCACTTGCTGTACTGCCTGTCGAGCGCCAGGGTTTGTGGCACCTTGACGCCCACGGGAAGGGAGATTTCACAACAAGATTCGTGTGGTGATCCAAACCGATTTATATTTGCAGAGGGCCAACACTAAAAGCGATGACAGAATGGAACGATGCAGTTGACAGGTATTGAGGAATGATTGACAGCGATAGAGGGGTACTTAGAGATAAGGAAAAGGGTAGGGGAGGGACGGGAAGCAGTGGAGGGGTGAGGGGAGCAGAGGATGGATAAGAGAGATGAGACTTTAAGAGAGGAATGGGAGGAGGTTCAGGAGGTGGACTGCTTAATGTACAAGTGGAAGGTTCCCGTATATTTGGAGTTGCATGTTCTCCCTCCGGTCGTGTCTATCTTTCTCCGAGTCCTCCGCTTTTTCCCTCCACATTTAGAATCAACGTGGCTTAGATTATTTGGCTACCATAAATTTCCACGTGATAAGCCACGTCGTTGAGAGCTATCATTTGTGGCCAGGTTCGCTTCTGAAAAAGAGGGAGGGAGGGAGGGAGGGAGGGAGGGAGGGAGGGAGGGAGGGAGGGAGGGAGGGAGGGAGGGAGGGAGGGAGGGAGGGAGGGAGGGAGGGGAGGGAGGGAGGGAGGGAGGGAGGGAGGGAGGGAGGGAGGGAGGGGAGGGAGGGAGGGGACCCACACCTGTGGGATCATGACAACGCGTGCGTTCTTCCGCGGAGACTTTGTGCTCGGGAGGAAATCCTCATCTTCGCTGAAGTGCAGTCGCGTCTTCTTGCGCACCTTCGAGGGCTGCCCGCACACACAAAGACCCCCCCCCCCGCCCCGTGTGGCCTTGAACACCGTTGGGGGCAAGTGCTGTTTTCCATAATAGGTACTCGCGAACGAGCGAGTACCTATTACGGTTGATGTTTATAAACTACACCTGGTTCTTCTTATTTAAGGACGAGTCGGGAATCGAACTCGTGTCGTTGGTTGCATAGTGGGCTAACCACTACAACACTACCGCTCCCCGTATGTTACGCAGAGATCCTCCTCGTATAGCCTTGTATGAGACTGTTGCTGCAAGTGCCGTTAGCGAGCAGTACCTATGAAGGCCGGCACGGCACATGAGGGGGTGGTTGGCCAACACCACGCCCGGCCGCCTTTGTCTCCCCTGTGGCGATGTTTACACATCGCACTGGGTGGGTACTCATTTGAGGCTGAGTCGACCTAACGGAGGCCCAGGACTGGTTCAGATAATTGTCACCGGTGTTCGTCGTGAGCGGGAATCGAACCATTGACCTGCATTGCAAGTGAAGCCAAGACAGCGGGACTCTTAACTGTGAAAGTTCACCAGTTATGCAGCATTGCACGAATGTCGTGTTCATGTTGTTTGAAAGAAGGACGACTCACGCTGTCTCGCTGCGCGGCGCCCTTGCGGGGGGGAGTTCGACGGCTCCATGGGCTTGATAGACCACCCTCTGTGCAAACACAAATACATAAAAGCACAACACAAGCAAAACTATATATGTACAACTGCTGCCGCGAATCGCCGCAAAGTGACGGTGACGTCACCTGTGCTTGTGCCAGGCTAGGTGCACTTTGAGGCCACGTGAAAACTCGCAGACTTTCATCTGACAGGTCACTGGACAGGGCCAAGTCTTATGGGTTAACTAACTTGACTTGTGAGATGACTGGCAGATGCACCACCTGTTCTCCCCACTGTGTCAACTTACACATACAGAAATACATGTGCACACATACATCTACATAAGGCAAAGATCCTCCTTTAGCCTACACAGCCTGTTAGAGCAAGTGCTGTTAGAAACACCTATGAAGGATGGCATGGTGCACGAGTGGGTAGTGTAGCCAGCACCAGGCCCAGACAGTTTTACCTCCCCAGTACTGATGTTAATACACCGCACTGGGTAATTATCAATAAAGGCCAAACCAACTTCACGGAGGCCCAGGGTGCTGCGATGGCGAGATGTTAACTCTTTCGACTGGTATACAGGAGGTTGTGGATTCGATCTCGACCCTGACACCTGTATATTTAGAGTTCGCATGTTCACCCCGTGGTTGTGTGGATTTTTCTCCATGTCCCCCGGTTTATCCCTCCACATTTTGAATCAAAATGATTTTATAGTATTTGGCTGCTGCTATACATTTCTATCTGACAAGCCATTTCGTTGAGCTATCATTTGTGGTCAGGTCGCTTCTGAAAAAGAGCTACGTAGCTCATTGGGTCTTCCCTGGTAAAATAAATAGTTTACTGTTAGGTTAGGACCTAGCCAGATAAATAACACTGATGGTAGCTGTGGTAAAGAATAAAACTCCCGGATTCGTCACGCAATTGCGATAACCACGACACTACCGCTCCCACACACACAAATGTATACATTTTTTGCTTCCTTCTACTGTCTGATTTGTATTGTTTCAAATTTGTTTTGTTCATGAAGATGCATTCCCTCCTTCGCCTAAATGTAGCATTATCATATCATTTACACGTATTTTTTAATAACTCGTAGACAAGCTCTAAGTATATTAATAAACAAAAACACACACAAACGCACACGTGCAGACACTAACCAAAAACACACCGCCACAAACACTCCACACCCCTACAGCTGCACACTTAACAAACGCAGTGGACACATCCACAGAGCCACAACCGCACTTTTCACAAATCCAAAGCCACTCCAAACATGTAATACAGCCACTGACTTCCAAAAATCCAGTCACAAGCAAACACTCCACAAATGCAAAGCAACGGCTCATTCCACAAACTTAAGGATAGGAAAAACACGGCAGCTCTCGGTAATATTCGACAAAACCAAACCCACAAGTTTCTTCCATCAACCACTCAATTCCACAACCCCCACTCAAACCACCAAACTGACCGGTACTCAAATCCCGACAAAACCATTCGACAGACAACGTGTGTAGAAACTAACTCCCTTCCCCCAACCATCTGTGCTGTTGAAATCCGGCACGGGTTTTTCAAGTCCAGTTTCAAGAACTTCCTTTTTTTTTGCTTCCCTTATGACTGGCTAAGATTTTCTTCTCTATTAAATAAATATGAACGCCTTTCCTGAACAGCATCTTTAGACAGCAGTGAAATTTAGATGCTCTTAAACTACACATTGTATTGTACAAATCCACAAGCACACACACGCTCAAGACAACACTATCCCCATTGTCAGTCACACGTCACTTACTACATGCGGCACAAACACACAAAGATCTGCCCATATAGCCTTTAACAGACTTTTGAGGCAAGTGCTGTTAGTGAGCACCTATGAAGGCCAGCACAGCACACGAGGGGGTGGGTGGACTTTGTCTCCCTAGTGGCAATGCTTACACACTGCGCCAGGTACTCATTTGAGGCTGAGTCGACCTAGGGGAGGAGCCCCAGAACTGGTTCAGATAATCGTCATTGGTGTTTGCCGTGAGCGGGAATCGAACTCGAGTCGCCGGGTTCGTAGCGCAGTGTGCTAACTGCTACAATACCACTCCCCACCTACCCGGGGCATAAACACACACACGGACACACTCCATACAAGTCGGCACAGATTCCACAGACGCCCAGATAGGGTCCACTGGTTTGCGCTCAGTGAACCACAACAACAAAAAATCCGAGCAGTGCACCATTCATCTCTTACATGTTATCATTATCTTGGGAGGGGCGTTTCTTATTTTGTTTTGCCCGCGTGGCGAGAGCCGTCAGGTTGAGTGTGTGTCTTACCTTTCAGGCTAACCAATGCTTCAGCCGAAGAGCCTGAAACAAGAAGAACCACGCGTATTTATTTATTACGATGACACATGTTTACGCTTTACTGCCATCACGAGGAACCGAGGCAGCTGCTTCTGCTGTGAACATTGTACACACCCCCCGTAGCACTGAGCGAATATATAATTTACGAGGATTAGAAATAACTTTTTTTGGTTCTGATATTTGCTCTATATTTGATTAACAATTCCTCTCCGGTGTATTTTTCGGGTTGTACCACGTGCTGTTTCCGTGTCTGACATTTCACTCCATGTGATGGCAGCATAATCCGAAAACACAACCGCTGCAAGAATATAATAATTCATACTTGTAAAATGCTGCAGAATGAGCCTGCAGCACGAGGAGGAACCACAGACAAACGAGAAGGCAGCCAAGCGGTGAGCTGGCGCCAACAATTGCCCAAGCTCTGCGGTCCTCTATATATTAAATTTGTTTTCAGCCAATTCATGTTTGTTTATACGTTGGATGGAATGCAGAGCACCCGGAGAAAAAGCACATGCGAGGGGGCAACACTATCCCATCACACATAAAGATTCGTCCACGTTTTGCTGTAGCGCCTTTTCCTGGTACGGCACCTGCTCGACGCCCACTGGGAGTTTCATCACAACGTCCGTGTGAGCCACCAACCCTCGCTGCCTCCACAGTGCTGGATTACACCACAGTGCTGAATTACACCACAGTGCTGGATTACACCACAGTGCTGGATTACACCACAGTGCTGGATTACACGTGTGCACAGCGACCACATTTAACTCCGGTAGTCTAGGTACACAGAATTTGGCACCATACAAGATAATGTGGGCTGCAAAAAGCACTGCTTTGAGAAATAAGTTTAGTAGTATGCTCAAGGAAAATAACAATTAGTGATAATTTCATAGATTTAAATAAAATGTTATGCTTTTGAGACAAACATTGAATCATGCGCTTCGGAATCAACTATTTTAAAATGTCTGCAAATTTACAAATTCGTAATATCAACATACATACCCACACTGACCAGCATAGTAGTTTACCACGGTTGGCTATGTACTGTAAGAAAGAAGCTTAACATACAAACCCGCACTGACCAGCGTGGCGGATTAGCACGGTTGGCTACATACGGTGTGAAAGATGTTCAACCTACATCCATACCCGCACTGACCAGCATAGTAGTTTACCACGGTTGGCTACGTACTGTGCGAAAGAAGCTTAACATACAAACATGCACTGACCAGCGTGGCGGATTAGCACGGCTGGCTACATACGGTGTGAAAGATGTTCAACCTACATCCATACCCGCACTGACCAGCAAAGGGAAGTATGATCAAATAACACTCATGACCCGCAGCGCGTGGAGAGGCCCTCATCCAACAGTAGAATGACAACATTAGCTGTACACGTATGAGACTCTCAATTTGCTTTCATCTTCTTTACCGTGTACGTGTAGAACCCACATGGTCTGTAAACCGTTTTCACTATTTAAATACTACCCCTGCCTTTCACCTTTATTACGCTCCTCCTTGAAATACTCTGTATGCTAAAGGTCAAGTTACAAAAAGCCTTGGCCTACCACAGCATTAAAAAACACCACATCTGTGGTACGGCAGCGTTAACGATACCAATAGTAAAATGTCTTACACCTCTGCTTGTAAATAAGAATCCTATTACCAAGCCCTTATTGGTATTTGGAGAGATACAATTCATACATATAAATTATAAATGTAATTCAAATGTATAAATCATGCACCGGGTGCTTTTAACAGCAGTGCAAGATACAAATAATAGAAATTCATCACATCTGTCATTGACAATTTTACAGTATAAGAGTATAAGGCGGGATAATTATCTTGGCAATAACCCTTGTCCAACATGGTTGAGATTTTAAAAAGAATTGCATTTAATACACACGGCTGCACATGCCACGAGTGAAAAATGAAAATCTTATATTATATTCTACAAGAGCTAAAAAGCTTAGAATGTGGAACAGATAGATGCCCAAAAACCAAAATGTATGAATCTGGGCCCTCAAATATTTTGATCCGGAAGTTGATTGGTTTCACTCAAACGGAAGGGTCAATGTAAAATTCAAAGTTGCTTACGTCTCGTGCAAAACATCTTAAACATATGAGCTATATCACCAATTAACAAAGTCATCTGCCTCCTGCAGTGACACTAACGCCAAGAGTAAGCAAACCCTACTGCCAGTTACTAAAATATTGGAAACCCTTTGCCAATCCACTGCTGTATGAAGGCCTCCCCCACGATATGTTGGTCATAGGAACAGTGTGACCATACTTCACCACAGTGTGGGATGAAGGGGAAATCCAGCAGCAGTTTAGATGTCACTTGTCACTGATGTTAGCCGTAGTCAGGAATCAAACGCAGGAGTTAGGATTCACGTTAGCTACTATAGTACTTAAATATGTGAATGTATAGTAACAGACTCGCTGCTTCACAGCAGGAGAGTGTAGGTAACACATCATTAATAAATACATACAGGGCAGTTGGAAACATTCATGAAAATTCAAAGCGCAAGTCGTTTGGACTTTTGCAAAGTCATAATATTAATCAGTCTTAAAGTGACATTTCTGTTACATCTGTAACACGTTTAGGAAATTACTCTGAGCCAGAGGTGGGGTTTCAATACTGCAATTTAATTAACCAAAGGCCAAACAGGACTTACAAATACTTCCGGCTGTTTACACACACTGTGACCCAATAATGCAAATAATTAGGCCTCACCTTTATATGTGACTGAGCAAGAAACAATTACACCCACAATGAAAACAATTCCTCTCCAGTACCGCGGGACGAATGATATGAAGTCACGGCCATATATGAAATAATGCCATTGGCCGCATGATATTAAGTGGCAGATTGTGTGACATGAAGTTACGGGCCATGCGAAAATTGAGCCCCACCACTGCTCTCAGCCGAACAAGCAGACATCAAGACCGACCGTGCATCTCACAGTGGCCTCCACCGCATAAGCGCCACACAGAGACCATATTATACTGATGATGATTATGAATCGCACCGGAGGGGATATGGGTTGTCCCTTTCCAGGCACGTACCCGGTGAACCCCCCCCCCCCGACTCAAGAACCGGTCAACTGGGAAGAGCACTGGGAGGTTGGAAACTCAAGGAGATTGACTCACGGGTGCCGTGCCCGGGATGAGAGTGACCTCTCTGGCTTCACAGCTGCCGAGGGGGTGGTGAGTGAACCCCGGTCGTACGTCACTGGTGGGGGGGGGGAGGAGGGTGAGCGTGCAAGTCGGGGGCAGTGAGGAGCAGATGCGGTTTAGGTTCAAGAGTTTAGGGGCTCAGGGACACGGAGCGGCAGGCGGCCAGGTCATAAGTAACCTAAAAAACGAGCTGTAAACTTGTAGGCGCCTATGACTAAATCACGTGGATCGCGTCCGACTTCAAGATATCAGCTCAGCAGGGTTGCTCTGATGGGTGATCGCCGTGCATGCGAGAGATTATTACAGGCTGCGGAGGCAACATGATGACCAGCAATTGGTAGCGCAGTAAAACACTGTTGTTGGAAACTACCCCTAGAATGCATACTCTTTGGTTCTTTCGGTAAAGTCACGTAGGAGAAAAATAAAAAAAATTTTAATGAAATACAAATTTACAAAAAATCGCGACGTTTCGGGCGCAACACAAGCGCCCGTCATCAGGTGCGTCCATTCCAGCACTTGTTTCTTGCTGCGGTGGTCCTAGCTGTGGTGGTCCTGGCTGTGGTGGTCCTGGCTGTGGTGGCCCTAGCTGTGGTGGTCCTAGCTGTGGTGGCCCTAGCTGTGGTGGTCCTAGCTGTGGTGGTCCCACCTGATGACGGGCGCTTGTGTTGCGCCCGAAACGTCGCGATATTTATTTTATTTTTTCATTACTTTTTTATTTTTCACCTACGTGACTTTGCCGAAAGAACCAAAGAGTAAGGATCCTTGCAGTCACGAAAACCTCAAATCTGGAATGATACCTCTAGAATGGCTCCCTAGAGCTCCCTCTAGCGGAGGCCCTCCTCTCACCGGCAGTGGCGTGAGCAATCAGTTGCAGGGCTGCACCTTGACCATACCTCTACGCTTAACCGCCGTCACCCTACCGTACCGACCGGCCTCGTGAAGTTAAAGTAGGGCGACACCAACACCTCGATCGTCACGGCGTGGCCATCATCCAACAGTGGAGATTGTGTATGTGCACATGTACACGATTGCGGACCGCGCATCTAGGCTGCGCGTTCTAAGGCCGTTTCCACGCGAGTGAGCATCCTTCCTTCACGAGGAAGAAAAATATAAAAAAACCCAACCAAGGCCACTTTAAAAAATCATCAAATAACGCAACGCGAGATTAAAACCTTCAAGCCGTGACGTCACGCCCCCCAGTGACTTTTAAGAAATTTATTTCACCCACTTACAGGAACCTCAAAACTCTTGCGCCGCGAAGCAGCCCTTGTGGCGAGCGCACTCGCACCCGATATGCCTCATCGCGGTGGTTTTCACTCCACGCAAATTCGTTTTACTAAAACAACTACAAAAAAGGAGTTGCCCAGGGCTGAATGCGATGGGGGGGGGGAGGGGGGGGCGCTGACGTGACCGCAAAGGCCTAAAGGGGGCGACGGTGACGGGCAAGGGGTCGCTACCGCCACACGCGCTCACTCCCCCCTCGCCTCACAACCACCACTCATCAACACCATGAGCCTTGGTCAATCCACTGCTAGATGAAGGTCTCCACACCCCCCACCCCATCCTCTCCACCTTAACCCAATACGCCGCAACGCCGAGACGACAGTGCCGACGACGAAACGTTGCACAGGCGGCGGTGAGAAGCGCCTCAAAAGGAGAGAGGGGGCGCGGCTAACTCGTGAGCGCGAGAGTGTAACGGCGGTGAGGCAGGTGAGTGGTGGTGGTGAGTGGTGAGGAGGTGTGAGTGGTGGTGGTGAGTGGTGAGGGGTGGGTGAGCCCCACTCACTCTCGTCCAGGAGATGCTCGGCGGCCGCCGCCGCCATGTTGCTCCGGACGCACCGCTCTTTTTCAAAGAGCGCGCGGAACTCTGGGAGCCGCCGCCGGAAATGGACGGAAATTGACGGAGATAGCCGAGACGCCCGGGAGCGCCGCAGCGATTGGTTGGTGGGTCGAAGTTTAAGGTTGGGGGAGGGAGGGGTAGATACACGCCCACTCATGCAACTTTCCCCCCGCCCCCGAACGCCGAGCGAAGCCGCGATTGGTTGAAGATGTTCGGGGGGAGGGGTGGGAGTAAACACGCCCACTCATGCACATCCGCCCCCGAACGCCGAGCGAAGCCGTGATTGGTTGAGGATGTTGGGGTGGATGTAAACACGCCCACCCATGCACCTCCCCCCGAACGCCGAGCAAAGCCGCGATTGTTTGAGGATGTTGGGGGGGGGAGGTGTAAACAAGCCCATTCATGAATTCCCCCCCACCGACCGCCGAGCAGGGCCACGATTGGTTGAGGATGTGGGGGAGGGTGGGGGAAAGATAAACACGCCCACTCATCCAACTTTCCCCCCCCCCAAACGCCGAGCCGGGTCGCCATTGGTAGAGGTGGGGTGTAAACACACCCTGAACGCCGAGCGGGGCCGCGATTGGTTATTAAGGATGTTGGGGGAGGGTACACGCCCACTCACCCCCTCCCCCAGCCTTGGTGGCTGATAATTATATAATTGATGAAAAACTTACCGATTAACATTTTATTTGTATTAGCATATGAATCGTGAAGCACTATACTAGTCGCTATGTTTAATAGCAATACAACCCAACAATAATCTGAATGAAACATGGTATTTCTACATGAACCCATCATTTCGATCTTTACAAAATTGGTGATGCTGCTCAAACAGTGGTGCCACAAGCCCATTGAATAAAAAAAACTCATTCGCCAATAACCCCGAATAGTAAAAGCATATCAAAAGCAACGTTTCGAGCAACGGCCCTTCTTCACAGGACATTTCCTCGTCTCCTGTTAACCACGCCCCGCGACCAGAACGAAGGCTGTGGTTGGTCGATACATTGGCCATGCCCCACTTTTAAACCAATGGCCCCGCCATAGAGCGAATCGCCATCTCTCCCACGACCACGATCCCTTAACGCCTCGTGATTGGTTCAACACTTAACTCCGCCCCTTTAATGCCCCCCCCCCCCCATTCTCCGTCGAAATCCCGCCTCCTCCACCCGCTATCTAACGAGCGCAATTGGTCGACGCTGGAGCGGCCACCCCCGCCGCCCCACCAGAAATCGACGGGGAAGGCGCTCATTGGCTGTAATGAGGAAAACTGCCCTCTTCCCTCGCCAAAGGTTCGTAGCGATTGGTTAATAACTTTACACCTTGGCCCGCCCATAATCGGCAACAAAGAAGGTGATTGGTTAAGACGTGACTCCACCCCCACCACGCGCTTTATAAATTCAACTGCATTTGTCACGAAAACACCGTGGCCCTTAAAGGGGAATGTAATAGATAATGTTTAAAGCAACGGCTCTTTTTCATGGCACACACATTTATATAGGCAACGTTTCGGGCAATGCGCCCATTAGCCGGTGTTAAAAGGAATGTTGTGTGCGACGTTAATTGTGTCTGCGCATCACTGCCAAAGCAGCATCACAAAATAATTAGCTCAATTTAAGCGGGGAGATATGATTCTTTGGTGCCCTACAGATCTCACGTGTTGCTCAATGAGTAACAACACAACATCCAAGCAAACTCAAGACTGCCAAGCATTTTGCCAAACGTGGATGTATTTAAATTACAAAGCATTGTTTAACACAGGCCTTTTCGCGACCAATAATTATTACATTTAAAAGCGCTTTTCATCTTGGATCTTCAAAATGATATACAGGACACAGCAGCGGGCACTCCGCATAAAATAATATAAGTACATTTTTAAAATTATTTCCTAAATGAACAAAAAATGCGGAAGCGTATAAATAGGTTTTAAGGCACATGTTTTAAATGTCCGCAGACATCCTGATATCTCGTGCAAGAGCGTTCCATAGCCTGGGGGCTACACGGGAAAAATCTCGGTCACCCATAGACCGAAACCTCGACCTGGGAATAGAGAGAAGATCTGCATCCCCAGATCTTAATGACCTTGAGGGGATATATGGGGGTGCAGCATGTCAATGGTGTAGGCTGGGGCAAGATGCTTCACTGCTTTGTCAGTTCACAATAGGATTTAAAACTAGATTCGAAGCTTTCGTGACTGCAGGAATTACTCTTTGGTTCTTTCGGTAAAGTCACGGAGAAAGAAATTCAATTAAATAATAAGAGAATACGACGTTTCGATTGCAACACAAGCAACCACCATCAGGTACAAATGATTGAGAAAACAAACATAATAAACTTGGAAATATAATACAACACAGAGAGTCGGTCAACACAAGAGTCAACACCCCCACCTGGTTGATTACGTTCTTCCAAAGATTGCAAAATTTGAGAGAGAGACAAAACACAGACACGGAGACACACAAGCAGAGAGAGATAACACATACACAGAGAGACACACATATAGGCACACAGTTGTCTCTGTAAGTCTCTCTGCTTGTGTGTCTGTCTGTGTGTCTCCGTGTCTATGTTTTGTCTCTCTCTCAAATGTATCAATCTTTGGAAGAACGTAATCAACCAGGTGGGGTGTTGACTGTTTTGTTGGCCGACTCTCTGTGTTGTATTGCATTATATTTCCAAGTTTACTAGGTTTGTTTTCTCATTCATTTGTACCTGATGATGGTTGCTTTTGTTGCAATCGAAACGTCATATTATATTATTTTAATTAATTTCTTTCTACGTGACTTTACCGAAATAACCAAAGAGTAATAGGATTTTAAACTGTATTATATGTGAAACTGGAAGCCAGTGCAGGAAAACCAAAATGAGTGTAATATGATGTGAAGATAGGTGTTCCTGTTAACACCCGAGCAGCTGCATTTTTAACATGCTGAAAAACTGATTAGCACTTGATTTGAAGCTTTCGTGACTGCAGGAATCCATACTGTTTGGTTCTTCACCTGAAGACGGTCGCTTGTCGTTGCGATCGAAACGTCGTGATCTATTATTGTTTCTACCTACGTGACTTTACCGAAAGAACCAACGAGTATTGATTAGCACCTTCTTAGCCACGTCAGGGAGTAGGAAGACATTACAATCGTCTATGCGAGATGAGATGAAGGGCATGGGCCAGCTTTTCTGCATCTGAGGCAGAGATAATGGATCGAATAGGGAGATATTCCATAGATGGAAAAAATTAAGTCTTCGGGATCTTTTTTAATGTGCCTTGAAGGACAATGTGGGATCACAGATGACACATACATTTGTGACTTCGTGTGCCGAACTGATTACCTGACCGTCAATCGTAATGTTGAAGGGCGCAGCTTTATGAAGTTGGTGGGGTGACCGAATGGGTATCACCTCCGTTTTAACCCCATTCAATTGGATGAAGTTTTGTTGCAACCAACTTTTGATGGAAGCCAGCGCCGAAGCATGGAGGCAGACGAATTTATATCTGACTCAGTATGTAAGTACATTTCAGTGTCGTCCGCATAGCAATTAAACTTTAGGCCGAGATTTCGGAGCAAATGACCCAGTGGCACCACATGAATACAAAAGGGCCAATAACCCCAAATTAAACAGGGCTGGGAGCAGATTTAAAATCTCTCATAGATACGAACTGTTCCCGAATGGCAAGAGAAGAGAATACCTGAACCAATTGAGAGCAGTTCGTGAAACCCCATGGATGCTTTCCAAGCGATCAGTCAAGATGTCATGATCGATGGTGTCAAAGGCTGAACTCAGATCCAGCAAAAGCGAGAATACTTGGTGAGCCAGACAGCAGCAATCGAAATCTCGTTCACCACTTTATTATCCATAAGAGGTTTTGGGTTAGATATTGTAAATATAAATGTGCCATTAAACCCCCCACCACCCGACACAGCCAATTAGTAGGTTTCAGCCGATTAGTAAGGTATCCTATATAAATAACCCAACCAGCAATGGATACCCATTGTAATTTGTAGACATTCATTAACCCCCCCCCCCCCACTTCGCACGTGAAGTGCTCACAAGTGACGTCAACACATCCACGCCTCTATTTAAGGAACAAAACACGTGGACTTCTCCACAAATCACCTGATGAAGCTGGTTGTCATTACTGGCGAAACGTCGTACTCGGATTGTAAATGTTGTGGCTTGGCTCTCCAACACACCGGTCAGTGCTGTACTAGTGACGAATTGGCACGTTCTGTTTATGTGACAACCCTTACTAGTTGGCTGTGTCGGGTGGTGGCGGCTTTTAACGACACATTTATATATTTACGCGATCTAACCTTTATAAACAGTTTGCCTTTAGAAGCTAACCCCACTTTCCTGATGCCGACCGCTTGTGTTATGATCGAAACGTCGTAGTTTTTTTGTTATTTTCTTTGAACCTAAGTGACTTTATTGGAAGACCTAAAGAATATCGCTACACCTGTATTGTAAGATGTTCTTAGCTCTACTGAGCTACCCAGCAACTTCAACAAGTGGATGTATAACATTCTACTTGCCCCCACTCAACAACATTATCGACAGACAGAACATCCTCATCAACACAACAAGCTTTTAGGAAGTTTATTGGGCCGTCAAGCTGCCTTGAATATTGTTGAAAACGAATTTCAAAGCACGATGACAAAGGCAGTGAACAGCCATGTACAGACGTCAAATCTACAAACAGAAATCAACAGCGGTCTCTCCGACGTGGCCTCCCGTGACATTTTTAAGCATTTCAGCTCTGCATGCGACCCATGTTAATTTCAACACAGTGCCGTTTCCTAATGTAAAAAAAGTTACAATAAAATAAATGAACAGTAAAAAGAGTTGTCGCCGGTTTCTGTTTAGTTTTGCGAACCTGAACTTGGGTTCTCGTGACATTTATGCGAAGTTCAGCGATTCGACCGCAAGAAGACAACACCGCGAAAACAAATGCAGGCGGGGGTCTGAGACATCACTGAAGGCTAAGAGTCAAGTAGAAAACACTCCCTCCCAAACACTTTGCTTCGGACGTAGCCAACTGTGAAGGCTGGTTGCATACTCATGCAATTTGTTGAACGATGGACTCGCCGGACCGCACAGGTTTCGTAACGATGGGCGGTAAATTAACAAATTGCTTCACCGGGTGGCAAAGATTTAATGTTGCCAGCTTCATAGTAATGTTTCTGCATCAAACAACTGCCAGCCCGACCTATTATGAGACGCTCGTTCTACCCACTCAAGCAGCCGGTGATGATACACTCTCCCTGCTGCGTATCATTTGCACATTACCAACTTTAGGCATTCGTTGGTTTTGGACAACCGCTTATTTTGAAAATTAGGTAAAACCACAGAGCAAACATTGCCCCCACACCGCCCCTGGCAGACTAAACCTGGCTGGGAAACGTCGTACTTTTACGGATAGCCTTGCGCGATGAGAAGGAAACAATGACCAATGTTTTTTTTATGACCCACGCGATTTAAAAAAAAACAAAGAGAGAACGCAGTCACGTTCTACTCCAAAACTACAGGTAGAAGAAGTGGCCGGACGCACTTTATGCATTACGGTGCATTTTCCGTAAAAGTCTCATCGGCCAATTGCTCAAGTGTGAACGGCAGCAGCAGACTTCATATGCGAGAGAGAAGTGGCTGAAGGGGAGGGGGTTCAATTTAAAAACTAGGGATGAACAAAACAAGCCATTCGCGAGCAAGCCCATCGACAATACGAGTTACGCGAGTGTGAACCAACCTTAAGCAAGGCCAACAGGACCGTTGCTGAAGACATGGGTAACAGGTGTGCAGCATTACACCTTTACATCACTGCTGCCTCCGTTAGCAGACGTTCGAGAGGGTATCTGGTCTGCTCTTCCACGCTGACCAGATGTATTGTGAAGTTGCCCACATTTTACCCCACTGCACGCAACCTACCGAGATTTATTGTGGTGTACACATTTATGCTGCCGAGCGGATGAAGGCCAGGTTTTTTTTGTTCGAAAGAAAATTCCACGATTGTTTTCAACTGCCGTGCCAGGAGATCGCAACCGGCGACCTCTGGATCGCAAGGCCCAGTGTGCTCACCATCACACCACGGCAGCATCCCGAAGACGCGTCTAAAATAAACAATAAGGTGGTTCTTCACAAATATAATGTCTTCGACGGCCACAACGGCATTCACAAGTGTAAGCCAATGTTGTTGGTTGGCCCGTGTGGGCTCTGTGCACGTGCCCACACGTGTGCACACGTGAAGAGCGGTGCGCGACTTCATGTGAGCACAGTGTACATTAGTGAGAGGCGATGACTGTAGCAATGGCCACTAGAGTGTTGGATCACATTTGGGTTGAATGTGATGGCTAAGGGCGATATACCACTGGCCTTTTCGGCACGTGTACAATCCACCGCTGGATCAGGGCCTCCTCACGCCGTGCGGGCCAGTGAGGGTTGTTTGACCGTACTTCAAGTTGGTCTGTGGTGCGTTGGTCAAGGTGGGGGACATTGACGTGGTCGTATAATACGGTACAATTGATTTTGATTGCATCATTCTCTGCCGTTCGCCACGTAGCCCTATGGGGAACCTGCTTAGTGTCAACAATGGTCACCCATCTGGGCTCCTCAGTTGTCTTGATATAATTAAAGGTACCATCCACCCCATCTTTGACCATTGTGATATTGTCAACCGGCTAGCCTCCGAAACCAATCTAAAACGGATTGTTACATTTTACCCCTCAGCCATCCGCTTTGCCCTTGATGCCCGCTTTAGAAAAGATCATTACAACCTCTATATTACCTCAAATTAGTCCCCCCTGGACATCCGAATGTGAGATCACCACTGGGCTGTCTTCATCCTTAAGTCATTTTGAAATAAACCTGCCAAAAATCTAAAAGGACCTCCTAGCTCCACAAATTCCCAGCTGCAACCTCAGAAGTGCCTCCCCCCCCCCCCCCCGTTTCTAATTAAAAAATACCAGCTGTTAAAAGTAGGGTTGAGCGACACGTCCTTCCACATTGCTGCCCCACGTTACCAGAATGCCCTTGCACCTCTCAAGCTTAGGATCAAGCTCCCTCTGCTACCTCTCTCTCACTCCACCATTGACTCCGAGCTCAGAAAGCGCAGCAGCAAGATCAGCTCCATCCATACCTGACACACTTTGCTACTACTTTTTGCGTTCTCAGGATTGACTGGCTGTTTTATCCCCTCGATTGTGTTCATTTCGCCTTGCGATTATCGCCTCTCCAACCATTAGTCACATCGTCTTGAATTTTTGGTGCAATATGCCTGGTTATATTAATGTTGTAATTTTTTTGTACTTGATGGATTTTATTTTCCCTGCACCTCCCGACGCATTCTGTTCCGATGTTGCCTGTTCCTGCGTACGGATCACTTTGATGTTGTTGTTTCGTGCCGATGCACCATAGATCTCCGGAGAAAACTAGCTGGGTTAACTGGCTGAACGGGATTTCCCATGGGACAATTAAACATCTCAACTCTGAGATCTGACGCATTAAGGGTAAAAGATAATGATATTTTCGAATATTTTTTATTTAAAACTGTATTTATTTTTACAATCGTGACTTTGTCATACGCTTCCAGCTCACAATCGGCGGCAAGACATAACCCATCACAGGATTTCACCCAGTCTCGTGGTGAAGTGTCAATGAGTTTCTAAATGTGTGTGTGTGTCGATTAAAGGTTGCCAGATGGGGCAAGTCTTGCGTATATTCCTCTCTTCAACAAAAAAAATCCTCACTGCAAGAAAAAAACATAAAAAAGAGATTAGAGTCTACAATTACAATCGTTAAAAGACCACCAGTGATGTACAAGACAACGTCGGGCTGGGATCAATGAGACCATGGGGGGGGGGGGCATGCTAATAACTAACCATAAACCATTGTCTATCCACTGCTGGATGAAGGAACACCCATGGCATCACCATCCTGCAGGGTCCTGTGACACCACAATCTCACTCCCCGCGTATATGAGCTGATCTCAGAGATTCTATCCTCGGCAGTGGTTGTCCCGTCCGGACACGTTTCGTCCTTTGATTGCCATTCCATTACCAGTCTCGTCCTTTAACTCTGTCCCCATGTTATGGAAACGACCTGCTCAAGGCCATATGAATTAAAAACATTTCCGGGTAAGGCCCACTGAGCTATGTCGCTCTTTTTTTCAGAAGTGACCTGGCTACCGCAAATGACAGCTCAACAAAGTGGCTCATCGTCATGTGGAAATGTACAGAAGCCAAACACTCGAAACGCGTGATGTCGATTCTAATTGTGGAGGGAAAAACCGAAGGACCCGGAGAAAAATCCAAACGACCACGGGGAGAGACATGCAAGCTCCAAATATACAAGCGTCAGGGTCGGTATCGAACACGCAACATCCTTGTACACCAGGCGAGGTAGTTAACATCTCGCCACCGTGGCGCCCCGAGATATCTCACGTCACTGCCAACGCGAGCTTACACGCACGACGAACGTTACTTGTGGCCAGTGATGTATGTTAAACTATTGGTGGGAATTACAAATTGCTGTTGTGGGAACCAATCTCTCAATAGAACAACCACTGCCAACCTCTGATCCAAGTACCCCTGGTTCGACTCCTAGTTGTGGACATAAGACTCATCCGGTATGTTAACCTGGCTTGAATCTCTACAGAGTTTGCTCAGCCAGAATATGAGTGCTTGGTGAATTGTGCGAGCATAAAGCACTTGGTAAATGAAGGCAGATTATCTCTCTACCCCCTTGTTATCAGGTGCTCCCTAATAATAGTATGAACTATTGGGATATTTGTCTCATGTTCAGAATTCTCCCACTGACGTTAACCATGGCCAGGAATAAAACTCGGTTCACTGAATTTCATATCGCAGTGATAACCACTGCTCCACCACTACCCAAAGACACCCTGTGAAGCTTAACACGTAGGCTTTTGCGACCAAAAAAAACCTCTACCCTGTGAAGCCTTTCACGGACTTTTGGGGCAAGTTCTGTTAGCGAGCACCTATGACGGCTGGCATGGCACACGAGGGGGTGGGTAGCCAGCACCACGCCCGGCCGCCTTTGCCTCCCCAGTGATGATGTTTAACACATCGCACCAGGTACTCATTTGAGGCCGAGTCAACCGAAGGCTCTGGACCAATTCAGAAAATCGTCAATGATGTTGAACGTGAGCGGGAATTCAACTCGGGTTTGCCGGGTTCGTAGCATAGCGCACTAACCACCGCACTACCGCGCACAAGTACACACAAACACAAATATCGCTGGTAGAGAGGCTACATAGGCTGTTAGGGTCAGTGCTTTCAGCAAGAACACACACACACACACAGGTACACAGATGTTTCTTACCTTGACCTCCTGGGGTTTGGTCCATTTGAGCGCCTGCCGGGGAGGCAGAGAGGGCGGCGAGGGGTGGTAGAAGACGCAGCCGGCTCGCTTGCAGCGTACCCCGTAGCGGCACGGCTGCAAACGCGGCGCGGAGGGGGGGGGGGGGGGCGGGGGGACAAAAACACGAAAATTCGTTGACAATTTTTACTTTCGTTGATAAAGAAGCTCGCGTTCGTCAATAACGTTGCGGCCTTCGAGAGAAGACCAAAATATTGACGTTATGGGCAATGAGTCTTCTTCAGAGTACGTAGGCAAGTGCTACTGAGGAATGTGTTGAGTTTTTTTTTTACATCAATTCACCTTGAAACAATATAAATTAAGAGGTAATATGCCTGCCTGAATACACTAATCCTAAAAAAGTCAAATATGCTGCATTGTCATAGAAGTATCAACGGAAAACATGCGATTGTGAACAATACTGAGTTGCAAAGCAACTTATTTCCTAGTAACGCAAACAATATTTCACCAATACTCTTTGGTTCCTTCGGTAAAGTCACGTAGTTAGAAATAAAATAAAATAATCACGACGTTTCGATTGCAACACAAGCGATCATCATCAGGTGGGAAAACCACAGCAAGAACAAATTGCTGAAGTGGGAGCGAGAGCTGCCGTGGCAAGAGGTTATATAGGTAAGGGGGGAGGGGCAAGGAGGGAGAGAGAGAGAGAGGGGGGGTTGTGGGGTTGGGGGAGGGGAGGGGAGCGCTGTGTGAGCACTAGGGGGAGAGGACGTGGGGCTGGGGGGGGGGGGAGTGGGTGGTTGCTGTAAGTGGGAGGCCGAGAGAGCTGGGGATGCAGGGGGAGAAATTAACTCGGAAGAACCAAAGATTATGGATTCCTGCTTTCACCAATGTGATCCAATCCACACGACCGGTGTCAAAAGTCATTGGGTGAAGAATCCATTCAGATCTCACCTCAGAGCAGTGCAAACCTCAATGTTAGACAACTGGCCCACGGAAGCGGACATCACAGAGCCACCTCTGATATCACCACAAGTGACCTTCGGTCCACACAGTTGGGGCGCAAGTTCGTTCCTATCCACCCTACCGACACCGTAATGTTCGCCACACAATAGCCAAATAAATATTTGTAATTCTAAAATGAGGCCGATTTCTGTCAAATTAAGTGCAGCACCAAATTTAACGTCACAGGATTTGCTTTTTTGCGCAGTCATTGATGACCGGGATGAGATGAACAACACTTGAGCGCTCTTCATCTCCCGAGCCATCCGGTCAAATGCTATTTTATTCTTTTGCTTTTTGCTTCCATTAATTATGTTCCAGCGGTCGCTCGTGAACAAAGACATTCCTTTGGAATTCTTGTCGTGAGTAGGACACCACCCGCCCTATATTGGGGGGATGACCAAAGGAAGAAGACATCTCACGAAACAATATCTCAAGACGTTTCAACATCTCTTAACCCCTGAGGACAAAACGCTTAAAAATAAATTAAGAAGTTGTTACCTTTGGGTGCTCGAAGGGACATTCCAGGTTCTTGCACTCGGGGAAGAAGCGGCATTGAGCGGAAGAAGAGACGACTGGGGCTGCCACTAACGAACAAAGACAAAGATCCCCCGTTATAACCTTAACAGACTGTTGGGGCAAGTGCTGTTCACGAGCACCTACGAAGGCCGGCACGGCACGCGAGGGGTGGGTGGCCAACACCACGCCCGACCACCTTTGTCTCCCCAGTGGCGATCTTTACACACCACACCAGGTACTCATTTGAGGCCGAGTCGACTTAGGGGAGGCCCAGGACCGGTTGAGATAATCATCATTGGTGATGGACATGAGCAGGAATCGAACTCGGGTCACCAGGTTCATAGCGCAGCACGCCAACCGCTACACAACCGCTCCCAATTGAACACGCTTACAGGCACACACATTCATGGTCACACGCGGTCCTATCCAACGACAACAGTGACGCATTCATAATGAATGTTTTGTTTGAGGCCACGTAATGATCTGGCCAAGGTTGCGGCTGTGAAATAATACTGGCTGCGAAAACCAACGTGTTACGTTAAAAACAAACCGTCATTCAGTGCCAATTTAACACGTAGGCTTTCGCGACCAATATTATTCATAATAAAGGTTTTTGGGTTAGATCGCGTTTATTTATAAATGTGTCGTAACCCTCCACCACCCGACACGGCCAATCAGCAAAGAAAAGTGTCACGTTGACAAAAGACAAATAATTCACTACTTCAGCCCACCGGTGTGTTGAAGAGTTAATCCACATTTACAGTTTGAGTACGACGTTTCGCTGGTAAATACTTCCAGCATCATCGGGCAATTCGCCAGAATGGTAAAGCCCTCGCTTGCTCCCGGTTTTATATAGAGCAGAAGAGTGACGTCATCACTTAACTCATCAGGTGCAGTGATTAGAGGCGGAGGGGGGGGGGTAATGTAATTATATAATCGATTAGTAATCAGTCATTGGTTATGATTAGTAATGAGTTGTAGATTAGTAATTCTTTAAATCAAAATGTAATGTGTATTATTTAATAATACGCTTCCAGGCCGCACTGAGCCGGTAGCTGTCAGAGCGATTAAAGTTATTCTTGTTCCTCTCAATTTCAATGGATTCTCTAATTAGTCTTTGCCAGTAATAATTAGTTTTACACACCACTGCAACATTGTCAAAATCAATTGAGTGTCCTTGTTGACAAGCATGTTCTGCCACTGCCGACAGTTGTGTTTGAGATAATTTAATATTTCTCTGATGTTCTTTTAGTCTTACGCTGATGTTACGTCCCGTCTGCCCAATGTAGCAGCTGCCACATGAACAATTAATCCGATATACACCTTCTGTTGATAGTTTAGGTAATGCGTCTTTAGTGCAAGATACTAGTTTTTGAATTTTGTGTACTGTACCAAATCTTACTGTAATGTTTTGCTTTTGCAAAACGCGGGCTAATTTGTCAGTTACTCCTGAGATATATGGAATTTTTATTGTTTTAACAATCTGGTCGCTTTCAGTAGTATTGCTTTGCGATCGTGATTTGGCATTCAGTGCTCTGTTAATTTGAGCATTATTGTAGCCATTCTGTCGTAGTGCGTCTTTAACGTGTTTAATCTCTCTCACTAGACTCTCACCATCTGACACTGTTTTCGCCCGATGCACGAGCGTCTTAATAAGAGAGGATTTTTGAGCTGGATGATGATGTGATTCTGCATTCAGATAGGCATCAGTGTGCGTTTGCTTTCTGTAAACGCTGTGTGTTATTTTACCGTTTAGGCCATGTCCAAGCAAAATATCTAGGAATGGGAGTGTATTATTCACCTCCATTTCCATGGTGAACTGGATGGCCGGGTTTTGTGCATTGAGATGATTTAGAAAATCATTAAGTGTATCTTTACCATGTGGCCAGACAACCAAAGTGTCATCCACATACCTAAACCAAAAGGATGGTTTTAATGTGCTCGAGGCAAGTGCTCTTATTTCAAAGTTTTACATGTACAAATTTGCTATAGCAGGGGATAAAGGAGAACCCATTGCTGCTCCTTCCTTTTGTTTAAAGAAATCCCCTCTCCATAAGAAGTAAGTGTTATTTAAGCAATGGCCAGCAAGTTTCGGAATATCTTTTTGTAAACCGGTATTCTTTACTAGTGTATCAAGTAATTTAAGCGATTCGTCCACTGGAACCTTAGTGAATAGAGAAATCACATCAAAGCTTACCAGAATATCATCAGGAGTAAGTTTAATATCTTTAATCACATTCACAAGATGTTCTGAATTTTTTATGAATGAAGATGTCTTACCGATGTAGGGCTGTATTTGTTTGGTTATATATTTTGCTAATTGATATGTGGCAGAGCCAATTGTACTGACTATGGGTCGTAATGGGATGCCGATTTTATGAATCTTTGGTAGCCCATAGAGTCTAGGTGGTTTTGAGGCCCTTGGCTTAATTAGGTATTGCTCATTTTTAGGGATTAATGAATTTGCAATTATTGCAGTGGTCTTACGTTCTAAAGTATTAGTTGGATCTCGTTTAATTTTAATGTAGGTACTTTCCTCTAGTAAATTTCTAATTTTATTATCATAATCGGCTCGTGACATCAGTACAGTAGTGCGGCCTTTATCAGCTGCTAGGATTTGGATATCCTTATTTACACGCAGCTCTCTTAAGGCTTTTGCCTCGTTAGAGCTAATATTTACTTTTGGAACTTTGCTATTCTCAATTATTTTAGCAACCTCATGTCTAGTCATCTCTGCCTCATTATGTGGAAGGAGTCTAACTGCTGATTCTACCTCAGCAATTATCTCATCCACTGGAATTGTGCGTGGGGTAATGGCAAAGTTAAGGCCTTTAGAAAGGATAGAGACCATGTCACCGGTTAATACAGTGTTGGTCAAGTTCATTTCGGAATCGCTAAAGCAGTTACACTTAGATATAAGCAATAGTGTATCTATGCATTATTGGAATATAATCGATAACATAACACAACAATCGGCTGATAATGTGTTTAAACTAACAAAAACTAACCAAATTAATAAATTTTCTAGACTACATAATAAACAAATCCCTACTGAAAACCAAAAATGTAAAACCAAAACTGTACTGAACTTGACCAACACTGTATTAACCGGTGACATGGTCTCTATCCTTTCTAAAGGCCTTAACTTTGCCGTTACCCCACGCACAATTCCAGTGGATGAGATAATTGCTGAGGTAGAATCAGCAGTTAGACTCCTTCCACATAATGAGGCAGAGATGACTAGACATGAGGTTGCTAAAATAATTGAGAATAGCAAAGTTCCAAAAGTAAATATTAGCTCTAACGAGGCAAAAGCCTTAAGAGAGCTGCGTGTAAATAAGGATATCCAAATCCTAGCAGCTGATAAAGGCCGCACTACTGTACTGATGTCACGAGCCGATTATGATAATAAAATTAGAAATTTACTAGAGGAAAGTACCTACATTAAAATTAAACGAGATCCAACTAATACTTTAGAACGTAAGACCACTGCAATAATTGCAAATTCATTAATCCCTAAAAATGAGCAATACCTAATTAAGCCAAGGGCCTCAAAACCACCTAGACTCTATGGGCTACCAAAGATTCATAAAATCGGCATCCCATTACGACCCATAGTCAGTACAATTGGCTCTGCCACATATCAATTAGCAAAATATATAACCAAACAAATACAGCCCTACATCGGTAAGACATCTTCATTCATAAAAAATTCAGAACATCTTGTGAATGTGATTAAAGATATTAAACTTACTCCTGATGATATTCTGGTAAGCTTTGATGTGATTTCTCTATTCACTAAGGTTCCAGTGGATGAATTGCTTAAATTACTTGATACACTAGTAAAGAATACCGGTTTACAAAAAGATATTCCGAAACTTGCTGGCCATTGCTTAAATAACACTTACTTCTTATGGAGAGGGGATTTCTTTAAACAAAAGGAAGGAGCAGCAATGGGTTCTCCTTTATCCCCTGCTATAGCAAATTTGTACATGTAAAACTTTGAAATAAGAGCACTTGCCTCGAGCACATTAAAACCATCCTTTTGGTTTAGGTATGTGGATGACACTTTGGTTGTCTGGCCACATGGTAAAGATACACTTAATGATTTTCTAAATCATCTCAATGCACAAAACCCGGCCATCCAGTTCACCATGGAAATGGAGGTGAATAATACACTCCCATTCCTAGATATTTTGCTTGGACATGGCCTAAACGGTAAAATAACACACAGCGTTTACAGAAAGCAAACGCACACTGATGCCTATCTGAATGCAGAATCACATCATCATCCAGCTCAAAAATCCTCTCTTATTAAGACGCTCGTGCATCGGGCGAAAACAGTGTCAGATGGTGAGAGTCTAGTGAGAGAGATTAAACACGTTAAAGACGCACTACGACAGAATGGCTACAATAATGCTCAAATTAACAGAGCACTGAATGCCAAATCACGATCGCAAAGCAATACTACTGAAAGCGACCAGATTGTTAAAACAATAAAAATTCCATATATCTCAGGAGTAACTGACAAATTAGCCCGCGTTTTGCAAAAGCAAAACATTACAGTAAGATTTGGTACAGTACACAAAATTCAAAAACTAGTATCTTGCACTAAAGACGCATTACCTAAACTATCAACAGAAGGTGTATATCGGATTAATTGTTCATGTGGCAGCTGCTACATTGGGCAGACGGGACGTAACATCAGCGTAAGACTAAAAGAACATCAGAGAAATATTAAATTATCTCAAACACAACTGTCGGCAGTGGCAGAACATGCTTGTCAACAAGGACACTCAATTGATTTTGACAAAGTTGCAGTGGTGTGTAAAACTAATTATTACTGGCAAAGACTAATTAGAGAATCCATTGAAATTGAGAGGAACAAGAATAACTTTAATCGCTCTGACAGCTACCGGCTCAGTGCGGCCTGGAAGCGTATTATTAAATAATACACATTACATTTTGATTTAAAGAATTACTAATCTACAACTCATTACTAATCATAACCAATGACTGATTACTAATCGATTATATAATTACATTACCCCCCCCCTCCGCCTCTAATCACTGCACCTGATGAGTTAAGTGATGACGTCACTCTTCTGCTCTATATAAAACCGGGAGCAAGCGAGGGCTTTACCATTCTGGCGAATTGCCCGATGATGCTGGAAGTATTTACCAGCAAAACGTCGTACTCAAACTGTAAATGTGGATTAACTCTTCAACACACCGGTGGGCTGAAGTAGTGAATTATTTGTCTTTTGTCAACGTGACACTTTTCTTTGCTGATTGGCCGTGTCGGGTGGTGGAGGGTTACGACACATTTATAAATAAACGCGATCTAACCCAAAAACCTTTATTATGAATTCAGTGCCAAGTTGGGCAAGTGTCCCACGGTATCTGTACTAATTATGGGGGACACTTTTAAAGCTATGTGGATTGGTCAAGACATACCAACAGGTCATGGGATAGGCCCATGTGCGATAAGTTAAAATGTAATACATCAATCACAATATACAGAATAGAAACTATGTGGTTATAAGTTCGTGCGTGCACGCGCAAGCTTCAAATCTTACCATAGAAATGAGCAAATACTGACAAGGGTAATCTCAATAACATTAGAATGACAATCGGAAGGATTTGTCCAATCCTTTGATCAATCCACTGCAGACTCACCTCCCACTGCACAAGGGGGTGGGTGGCCAGCACCACGCCCGGCCGCCTTTGTTGCTTACAGACGCGCGTACACACGACACAAACGTGTGCTCACTCGAGCCTGGCTCACCTGGCTTGGCAGGCTGCGCGGGGCGGCGTTTCTCCGTGTGCGTGAAGGGGCACTCAACCTTGCTGCACTTCCCGTCAAAGCGGCACACCGGGTGGATGTAAAGGCACCGATCGCCAAACTTGCAGTTGGGGAACGTCCTGTGTGCGGAACAGAGCATTACCAAGACGTGGAAACATAAACATTTTTAATGCAAGTTTAAATATTCTGGGCAAATAGGTATTTGTGCGTCTAACAGATCGTTACTTTACCGGGCGAGGCCCACTGATCTACATAGCCCATTTTCAGACGTGACCTGGCCACGAAATGATAGTCCAATGAAGTGGCTTATCATGTGGAAATTAATAGCTGCCAAATACTCTAAATGTTTGTTTCTATATGTGGAGGGAAAAAACGGATGACCCGGAGAAAAATCCACGCGACCACGGGGAGAACATGCAAACCTCCAAATATACAGCAGGCGTCAAGGTCGGCATTGAACCCACGGCCTCCTGTGTACCAGGCGAGGTAGCGAGCATCTCGCCACAGCGGGACCCATGCAACTAATTTCTACATCCGATGGCACAACCACCTCTCAACACTCTCCAGTTGCTAATTGTCTTCCTTTCTCAGCATCCGCGTCTCCGCTGAATGTGCACATGTACGGCACTTTTGTCTACCCACTGCTGGACGAAGGCCTGCCCGAGCCGTGCGGGTCACAGGGGGGGTTACGTGAGCATACTTCACCACGCTGGTCAGTGCGGAGTTGGTAAAGGCGGCGAGCACAGGCGTTGGAAGCGCAGTGCAGCGCAAAGGATTTTTGAGAAACTGCCCTCTGCTGAAAGCGCAGAGCACCAGTTAGTGCATGGTGGTCAACCATCCCTATAAGGTGATACGCTCATAGCGTACTTCTGCTTATATAGCAACGTTATCTCGTCAAGGAGCAATAAACCATCAAGCGAACTCCGGTCATCCTCGCAGCAGGAGCGGCTTTTGGCTAAGCGTCGAACAAAGACGGTGGTCACCGCATCGCGCGCTCTCACAAGCGTTTTTTCGGCCGTCTGGAACACTCTTCCTTCCGATATTAAGAAGTCACCGGAGCTGTGCACTATTAAATCTAGATTGAAAAAACGTATTTCTTTAGAACTGCTTTTTGTGTTCAGTTTGTTTGTCCTTCCCCCCGCACCTTCCGATTACCGCGGTTGGCTACGTATGGTGCTAAAGAAGTTCAACACACACGTGCATACATACACACGAAGGCCAAGCAAAAGACTTCTCAGCTCTACCCATCTCTCCACGTGAAAGATGGAAACTTTTTAAAAAGGGGGGTAAGGTGGGGGGTAGGGCTGGGGGGGGGCAACGCTTACTTGCAGCACTGCGTCGGGTGGTGGAAGGGGCACGCTTCCCCATTGCTGCAGCCCGGCCAGAAGCGGCAGCGCTCGCGCCCTTTCGCTTGCGCCTCGGGGACGTAGCCCTCGTCGGAGTCGTCTGGGCGCAGAGGTCGCACGTGGGGAGGAGAAACCGAGGGGAAATGCGGAGGTTTGCGGGGGGGTGGTGGGAGGAGGGAGAGGCGAGGAGACACAGGGAGGCACGGGGGGAGACGATGAGAAGTGGGGAGACGACGGGAGGAGATAACGTCGAGACGCGGGAGGAGACGCAGGGATGGGGGAGATGGAGACACGAGGAGACACAGCCACGGGGCAAGAGGACATATGGGGGAGACACAGGTGAGAGACATTTTAATTTCAGCTCAGTGAACGACGCTTCCTCCACAACACACTGTAAGCGGACTCCTCCCAGCGCCGCCCATCAGCTGACGCCCACGTCATCAGCTGACGCCCACCTCATCAGCTGACGCCCACCCCCATCAGCTGACGGCCCTCCACCCCCCGGGCCTTACCGTCAGACTCTCCCAGCGACACGGCCACGGGCTTGAGCTTGGGGATCTGCATCAGCTTGCCGCCCTGCGCCTGCACGAACACGTGGGGCCTCCCGAGCGGCACCGACAGCTCCATCTCCTCCATGTCGACGACGCCGCCCATGGCCTCGGACTCGGAGTAGCACTGCTCCATCTCCTCCACCTCGGCACCCGACGCCGCCGCCGCCACGGCGGTCATCGTCGCCTCATCGTCCTCCGCGTCGCCGTCAAATGCGGCCGCCCCCGCCGGAGGCGTCGCGACGCCGTCCAGCGTCACGATGAACTTGGGGCTCACGGGCCGGCGTGGTGGTTCGGGGTTCCTGCAAAAAGGCGCGTGCGGGCGCGCGCGCAAGCGTGAGCGTCGGTGGCTTGAGCAGGGGTCGGCAAAACCTGCGGCTCCGGAGCAGCGTGCAGCTATTTAAAGGCTGCTTGGTGACGTTATTCACAAGCGTATTGCGGCTCCTCAAGTACCGAGTCTTTTTGTTTACAGAATAACAAAAATGGTCGTCGACCCCTGGGCTAGAGTGGGGCGGTAGTGCACTGATATGAATCAGAAAACAAGAAAATGTCATGCGAATGCGCAGATCCTGTAACGCTTTCCAACAAGCGTTTGTCACCGGAAAGATTTAATTGGCAGTAACAAGGACAACTTTGAAAACCGCATAACGAGAGGGCGCCACACGTGGAGGTATTTCTGATGAAGCGATCGCATCTAAGTGCGCGGGTTTACCCGATTTCATACAGAAAACAAGAAAATGTCATGCGAATGCACAGATCCTGTAACGCTTTCCAACAAGCGTTTGTCACCGGAAAGATTTAATTGGCAGTAACAAGGACAACTTTGAAAACCGCATAACGAGAGGGCGCCACACGTGGAGGTATTTCTGATGAAGCGATCGCATCTAAGTGCGCGGGTTTACCCGATTTCATACAACAGGTATGTATATCTCATTAGAATTCCTAGTGCACAAGCGTACGCTGCCTACTCCCATTAACATGCCAACAGCGGTACGTTGTTAATTTTCCTTATTTATTTCAGGAAACCTTATCCGGCTTCCAGAGGCTTTACTCTATGAAGTGCAACGACACACTGTATCTATAAACTGTTTCGGTAAAGTCCATTCATTGGGCGCCACCCATCGCTGCCCCTTGGGCCTCCTCCCTCTGAAGCGAGCCTGACCCCGATGAGCCCTTGCCGTGCCGTTACCGGTTCCGTATGAGCCGAGGCGGCGCGATGACGGCTGGCGGAGTGGCGCCCAGACGATGCGCCAGCGAGATGCTGGTCGGAGCGGCGGGCATCACCGCCGTCGCCACTGCCGCCACCGTCACAGTCTCCCTGGGGGGATCTCGCGTCTGGCCCCTCTCCTCGTCCGTCAGCACGAAGGAGCGCGTGTCGGCAAACACCACCACTGCACGCGCGCAGACACACAAACGCACGCACACACACAGAGCGCAGACGTTTTAGTGACCGTTTCAGTCATCCACACGCACGGACGCACACACACCAGAGGTACACGCGAGCAAATGTCATTTTCTTGCTTTCATTAAACTAAATTTAACACACAATTATCGGTAAATGTTGGGGGCACGGCACCTGAAAGCGAGCAACCAGAGTTAAATTCTCAGTCGCGGCTAACATCAGCGGCGGCTAGCATGCGGAGACCTCGGCTGCTGATTAATAATCGCCCGATTCATGATAACAATGGTATGTACGTTGAACTTCTTTCGCACCGCAAGTAGCCAACAGTGCTAAGTTGGTGATACGAGTGCTGCTGGTGCTGACGATCATTATTATACCGATGCTGCTGCTGGCAGTGCCTGATAATGAAAGCAATGCTATGGCTGCTACTACTGCTGATGACAACGGAACTGATGATGAACAAAAGGCAACACAACCAACGGTGCCAGGCGGAAGAAATTCTCCGCCACTCTTTAATCCAACTCTCGTATCCTGCTCCTCATTCCTCCGCCGATTCGGCCGCGACCGCCACTCACCAGGCCGAGCGCTGCCGGCCTCGTGCGGCCTCGCGTCATCTCCGAGCGCCTCCACGTGACGCGAGTCCACAAGCAGCGCCTGCACTTGCGGTTTTATCTGCGGCTGCAGCTGCGGTTGCGGCTGCGGCTGGGGTTCCGGCTGGGGTTGCGGCTGAGGTTGCAGCTGCGGTTGCGGCTGAGGTTGCGGCTGAGGTTGCGGCTGAGGTTGCGGCTGAGGTTGCATCTGTGTCTGCTTGGGGCGCCAGCTCTCCCGTTCCGGCTGGGCACCGCCCTGACCCAATTCCAGGTTCCTCCTGATCATGGCCCGGCGTGGTTGTGGCACAGTGGAGCGCTTCGACTCTACTTCACGCGGTTCCACTTCCTGTGGTTCCATTGCCTGCTGCTGCTGTTGCTGCCGCCGCTGCTGCTGCTCCGGCTGCCGCTGCTCCGGCTGCCGCTGCTGCTGCTCCGGCTGCCGCTGCTCCGAATGTGGCAGGAGGCCGTGCTTTGGCTCCGGGAGCCGTGCCGTGCCAGGCCGGGCCTCGGGCCAGCGGGTTACACTCTGGCGCGGACCGGAGGCCCTGTAGGTCAGCCGGCCCGCCTCGTCGGCCTGGACCGTCCCGGACCCGCGCGTCCACTTCCTGGGCTCCCACTCGCCCTCCCTGTCCTCCCGAGGGCGAGCCCTGGGGGCCACGGGGGCAGTCTGCCGCTGCTGGATGGCTGTGTGGAGGAAGAGCGGGGAACCCCACGGAAGCCAGACAGAGGTTAGGGGAGGCGGTCGTAGCAACAGAGGGGCAGCAACAAAGGAAAGCAGCAGAGGACGTTCATACCCAGACCATAGTTTTTTCATCAACCCTGACATTATGTATGTATGCATGCTGAACGTATTTTGCCAACCGTGCTAATGGGAGGTGCAGCCTAACCATGGATAAATAAACTATTTGCATTATTCCTGGAAACTCGTGTAGGGTCTGCCTTCCTGGTCCTCATTCCTGTCTTGGGCCATCATCTGCACATCCACTCCACAGTCCTTCATATGTCCTAGCTCACCACTCCAAACCACCTCTCTCTTCCCTAGGTCCTGCCTCTCGGTCTCCGCTCAAATGCTTCCATTTTCATCGCCTTTAGTCTTCTTCTAGCGTAGGTTCTCTCTCTTCTTTACGTCTCACCCTAACCACCGGAGTTGACTATCTCTCAGATTCATGGGACCTCCTTTGCCAGTACCAAAATATGATAATAGGTTTTTCCCCTTTTATCTGGCAACAAAACAGGTGTTAAGTTGTTAAAACACCAAATTGAAACCTTTTACAAGGAATCATGTCTGCATTAACCACAATACTTGTGGTCAAAATGCAAAAAATATATACTCTGATAATATATGCATTGTCTTTGAAACTGATTGGTCCACACCAGAGACAGCTTTCTTTTGAGCCTCGTCTCAAACGGTCCCATGATGTAGATGCTCACCCCGAGCTCACATTACTCTGATAGTGCATTGTCTTTGTGCTGTGTACGCCTTTTGGCATCCCCTGGTCTAACACCGTTTGAGACGAGGCTCAAAAGAAAGCTGTGTCTGGTGTGGACCAATCCGTTTCAAAGACAATGCATATATTATCAGAGTATATTTTTTGTTTGCATTTTGACCACAAGTATTGTGGTTAATGCAGACATGATTCCTTGTAAAAGGTTTCAGTTTGGTGTTTTAACAACTTAACACCTGTTTTGTTGCCAGATAAAATGGGAAAAACCTATTATCATATCTCTCAGCTCGTCTGAGACAGGGGCACCACACCCTTCGCTTCTTCCTCATTTACAGCACGTGAATAATCACGCACGAGTCTAATCACATCACAACAATATATAACCATAACAATATATTCATCTAGACATCATATTCCAGGGCAGCACGGCGAGCTGCAGTGGCTACGGGGGATCAGGGGCTACGGCAATTGTTCTCAACCTTGAAACAGAGAGATCGCAAGTCCGCACCTCCAGTCAACAGGGGGCTATATTAAGTACACGTGGTGGTAAGGTATTCGCTTCGAGTTGCGTATCAGTGCGTTGTGTGCTAAGCATTCACGATCAATAGTCGGGGGTCAGCGGGTTGGGACATTGAATGGGATGGACGGGAGGGGAAGAGGTGAGGATGGTGCGCGTTGCTTACGCTGCATGCGACTCGTGGTGCGGGAGACCGACTCCTGCGCCTCGGAGATGGCCTTCATCAGCAGGCTCTTGTTCGCCTGCTTCGAGGGAGGCAGCGTTGGCCTGGTGGCAGCGACGGGCAGGCGGGAGGGTGGGGGGGGGGGCGGTCAGCGGACGGCCGTGGATGTGCGCGTACAAGAAGCGGACAGGAAGACGCATGAACACGGGGCACACGGACGCGATGGCGCACGTCCAATTGCATTCCAGTGCATCCCTCCCTTACGGCTTACCCATGTACTCCCATGTGCCCCCCTGAAACCCCGAGCTTCACCACAGAACCCCGCATCTCCACGATGTCCCTACGCATATCCGTGCCTTCCCACGTTTGCCAGTACATTCCTGTACGTCCCCAGTATTTTCCAACGCATCACTCCACGTCCCCATTCGTTCCCTCACGTCCCATTGCATCGGCATGCGTCCCTTTACTTCCCTGCGGACGCCCCTTTATCTCCACAATATCCCTGTGCATCCCCGTGCACTCCAACATATCCCTTAACATTCCTGCGTGCCCGCAAGGCTTCCAATGCATCCCCTCACCTCCCCGTGGGCTTCCTCCTCTCCTCCCCTCCCCCTTATATTCCCAAGAACGTGTGTCCATGGATCCTCCTACACCCCCACCCCCCCTCATCCCCAAGTGCCCCTCACTGCACGTACTTGCGCTCGGGTTTTGGGGGGAGCTGCACGCTGCTGGCAGGGCCGCCCCCGCGCCGCCAGACCTCCACCTCGTCCTCCTCCTCCTCCTCCCCCTCCTCCTCCCACTCTCCTCGGTCGTCGTCTTCATCGTGGTCGTCGCCCTCCAGCGGGAAGACGCGCAGCACCGAGCTGGAGGCGCCCGCGCGCCGCCCACTCCGCCAGCCCTCGCCCTCCTGCACGCATCGTGCACAACATTGTCGTCATCGTCGGAAGCGCCCACTCGCTAAATCGCCCCACTCTCACTCACACATGCACTCTCTCACTCCCATCTCTCTCTCTCTCTATCATCAATCACCTGTTCTCTCTCAATCGCCCTCTCTCCATAATAAAGGGGGTGATTTTGGGTAAGATTGCAGTGATTATAAACGTGCCGTTAAACCCACCACTACCACCCACACAGCCAATTAGTAAGGCTTGTTCACGTAAACAAAACCGGCCAATCAGTTAATACTTCAGCACATCCGTGTGTTGGAAAGAAAACCCACAACATTTACAATCTGAGTAGCATGACGTTTCGCTGGCGATTACAACCAGCCTCTCGCTAACTTTCACTCTCCTGATCTCACTCTCCCTCGCCCGCTCTTGCTCTCTGTCGCTCTCTCTCTATCCCTCGATCGCGTTCTCTCCCATCATCTCTTTCACCTGCTCGCAAACTCAAACCCCCAGCTCGCTTCCCCGTGTGCGCTGGGGGTTGTTTGTGTCTCTGACAAGTCGACAGAGTCAGGCCGTCCGAGAGATGGGGTGAATTTTCTACACTACATTGCAGAATTGATTTTAATTAGGGTGACGACATGAACGTCAGGGTCAGAACGATGAGGCACTGAAGAAGGCAAGGCTTCTGGTGCCCATTTCAGACAGGCGGAGAGAAAGTCTCGACTTGGACGGGTCGAATGCGTCACAAGGAGAGAGGAAAATCTGCATACCAGCCGCAGAGCAAGGCCCAATGACGGAGATTTAGAACACTTTCAGGATTCTAACGTTGAGCGTTAATGGCCAGGGCTCACACAAACAGTTTGGAGAGCAGTATAGCCATAGGTAATTCCTAAGTTATTAAGGAACATAAACCATTCAGCAGAATTGTTTTCAGCTGAGTAGTTGGCACGGTCCTTTCACATCCGCCAAATCCTGGAAATTTGCGTGACACCCTGTGACCTGTGACCCCCGTAACCTCACCTCTCGCGCGTGTCGCTCGCCCCCGCGCTGGTGGCCCCCGTCGTGGCTGCTCCGTGTCGAAACCACGGGAACAGGCCTCCTCCTGGGGGGCGATGGCACCGTATCCACGGCAACGGCACGCTTCTTGGGAGGCAAAGAATCCATCTCTAAGGCACCGGGCCTCTTCCTGACGGGCAATGGCAGGGTATCCAGGGCGATGGCGACTGGACGTTTCCTGAGAGTAGAGGGCATAATATCCACGGCAACCGGACGCCCCCTGGGAGGGGAAGGTACCGTCTCCACAGCAACAGGCCTCCTCCTGAGGGACAACAAATCAGTCCCTATGGGAAGAGGTCTTTTCCGGGGGGGCGATGGGACTGTATCTACGGTGACCGAACGCCTCTTGGGTGGCGATGGAACCGTCTCCATGACGACCGGTCGCTTCCTAGAAGCGGCAGCAGCAGCGATGGGCGGAGACCCGGAGCCCATCACCACGGCGATTGGTCTCTTCCTGGGAGGCGAATCCACATTCCCCATGGAGACGGGCCGCTTCCTGGACGGGGAGGTTGAGGTCGTCACGGCAACGAGAGCGGGACGGTGGGGGGGCGGCGAGCGGGACCCCCCTGCGCCGCTGCTCAGGTCGTATGAGAGGTCGTCCAAGGTCGGGGTGATGTCGATGATGGGGTCAGAGGGCATGGGGAGGTCGGCGCTCGATGACAGCGAGTGCTTGAACGTGGTGCGCGAGGAGCGATGCTCCCCACTGTGTCTGTCCGATGGGGGAACAAGTAGACACGCACGCATAGACGTGCATCGTCAGATGAAATGCAGAGCAAAGCTCCTTGTGAAACACCAATTAAAGCATCTGATAAAAATAGAAAATACATCAGCTGAAGCGCCTCAGCATAGAGAACCAGATGAATTTAGAGAGATGAAGGGCTGCGTGAGCTCTTAGATTAATAATGACGTAAAACTGCATTCCCTCATACATTAAGGTAGTCTCCCTCCTTAACCTCCTTCCGTTCCTCTCTCAAAGCCTCACCTCTTCTCTACCACCCATTATCTTCATTTTCCCTCCCCTCGCCCCTCCACTCCTTTCCGTCCCTCCCCTATAGCCCTTTCGTGATCCCCAAATAAACTCTATCCCTGTCACTCACTCCTCAATCCCTGTACGCCCCTGCCACATAAATAATTTTATTCTGTCGCCGTTTTGTAAGCTACTTGAAGGTGCTATATAAATACACCTCACGAGGCACCAGACGAAACATTGGGCTTTGCCCCACCGGCTGTCGCAGCAGTCCTGTACCAGTCGGTGACACCTGCTCACCGGCTACTGGAGGAGGAGGTACGGTCGCGGCGTGCGCCGACGCCGCTACCGCTGCCACCCGTGGCGCCGCTGCTGGTGGAGCCCTTGGTGTCGCGCGGTGGCGCTGCCACTGCCGTCGGCACCCCCTCGGGGACGGCACGGCCAGCGGGTACGGTCGAGTAGGAGATGGAGTGGCTCGAGTCTTTCTTTTCGCGGCTCTCGGATACCGGGGCGTCCACTCGCGTCTGAGCCTGGTCTGTGGGAGCAACACGGCGGAGGTAACGTTGTTCGTTTGTTTATCCAGTAAAGCCTTAAAAATATTTGATTAGCAAGAGAGACCTGCACTGCGAAGTTCAGCAACGTCCTTTTCTGTGATAATGACGAAAGCAAGGGACAATCATATACGCTGAATTATCACAGGAAGACAGTGCCTGGTACATCGCAGTGTGTCCGACAGAGGCACTCACCCACAGTGATGGAACGCAGCTTGTCCAAGACGCCATGCAGCCTGCGATGGGGTGAGGGTAATGGGAAAAACACACATGCAAGCACACACAAGTCAACATACATACATACAACATGCATGCGCACCCAAGCATGCACACAAGTGACCATTGATACACACATACATACGCATACACACAAATCAACATGCACAAAGAATTATCATTATCATGATGAAATTTACTACTTTTTTATTTTCCCAGGTAAGGCCCAGAGCTCTATAGCTTTATCAGAAGCGACCTGGCCACAAATGATGGCTCAAAGAAGTGGCTTATCACATGCAAATTCATAATAGCGATTTATACCCTAAACACACGTTTTTAAATGTGGAGGGAAACCCCGGTGATTACAACGTTGAAAATGGCAAAGATGACAGTGATGTTGACAACGGCAAGTGGGATAACGCACGCAGCAGTGCACCAAGCAGCGCACAATGTCCGTGCATGCGCAAGCGTACCACGCGGTGAACTTGCTGGTGTTGTCTCCCAGGAAGAGCATCAGATCGCGAGTCATCTGATCGCGGCTCTTCTTGTTGGCCACCATCACCATGATGTAGTCCGGCAATTCATTGTCTGAGCAGCACAACGCAAGGGGCTCAAAGTTCAGAACCGTGTAACAATTCGTCAGTGGAATATGAATGACAGTCAACGCCCAATTGTCTGGGGTAAAGGGGTGGGAAGGGTGGCCCGGATAAATCCGAAACAAAGGTGATGCAAGACACGTATGAATTAGTCTATAAAACGTGTTTATTATTCACCTACGTAGACCGAAGGCTGATTTTATTCATAAAAGGGTTTACAAGCCGATGTTTTCAGTCGTGTGGGCACCTACTCAAGAACTCAATGATCGAGGGGCAGCCAATGATTAAACGAAGAAATTCATTTATGTTTGTTTTTCAGATGACACTACCAAATCCGCGCACATCACCTCCCCTCCAGTGGCACACGTGGGAACAGGTTGAGAGTTTTCCTCAACTACCTTCGTGTTATCCCATTAGTCGAGCAATGTAACCCGATAATCAGCAGAGTAATCAATTACTTAAATAATCAGATAGCCCACCCCTATGACAATATAAATCACAATAATAAACATGTATGTTGATGTAGCGTTTAGATCAATTATTACATGTAATTACAGATTGCGGAAAGGTGTTTTATGAAAGGGTGCGAATGTGTTTGTGATTGAAGGTGTGTCTCTTACCAACATAAACCCCCAGCTCTGTGAGCTTGGTTTTAATAGCGGACTGAAAGAGAACACACCCACAAACACAGCACGATGAACAATTAATTACACGTTAACACCCACACAGCAGATATTTGTATTCCTGTACCAATAATAACACGTGCCTGTCCGCGGAGCGCCCATCAGTGGTAGCTATATTGGACACCACGGTGGCGAGATGTGAATTTCCTCGCTTGGTATTCGGGATAGCGTAGGTTCGATCCCGGACCCTGACACCTATATATTTGGAGTTTGCATGCTCTCCCCGTGGTCGCGTAGATTTTTTTTCTCCGGGTCCTCCGGTTTTCTCCTCCACATTTAGATACACGAGGTTGAGGGTATTTGGCTCTTGCTCTAAATTTCCACATACGCCACTTCGTTGAGCTATCATTTGTGGCCAGGTTGCTTCTGATAAGGAGCTACATAGCTCAGTGGGCCTTACCTGCGAAAATAGCCGCGTGTGTCAGCACCCGGCACATTGCATCCAGTATACCCCCCTCCCATGGCTGCGGCTACTAATAACGTGCCTACTCCAATCTAACAGCGACCCGCACAATATTTCAGTGGGAAATTAATCCCGATGCCGAATCGAACGCCTACATTTTAAGCGATATCTGCTATACTGGCAATAGACTGTGCTGTCGGTAGGACGAGTCCTACACAAGATACACATGCTAGTTATACACTCCATAACTACCCCATGTATATCTACAGCCCTTTTGTCAATGCATTGATCGATGGGGGGGGCCTCCTCAAGCCGTGCAGATCGTGAGGGTTGTTGACCATACTTCACCGCGCTGGTCAGTACTGGTTGGTGAAGGAGAATGCATCATGCACGATACTGGCCATACAGCCTAACACTACCCGTGCCATACTCCACTGAAGCCGAGACGTAGGGCACAATATCAAACACAACCCCATTATCATTTCTGCCCCCACGCCCTCTAAACACATACTTTTTAGGGGTTTCTGGTATTTAGGAACCTCTGGGTTTAGGGGTCTGTCTCTGGGCTTATGGTTTTAGGAGACTCGGGATTGAGAGGTCATAGGGTTTAGAGATCTCGCGGTTTATGAATCTCAGGTCTCAAGGTATCGCGGTGTATGGATCTCAGAGCCTCTAGGTCTAGAGGTCTCGCGGTGTATGGATCTCAGAGCCTCTAAGTCTCGAGGTCTCGGGGTTTATGGATCTCAAGAGTTTCTAGGTCTAGAAGTCTCGGGGTTCATGGATCTCGCGGTTTCGGGGTACCGAGGCCCCCGATCTTTGCGGACTCCACGAAGCCTCATCCTAATCCGCTAGGCCGCACGGCGGCATGCTGCGCGCGAAGTCGCCGCTAGCCGGTCTCGCCCAAAGCGCCGCCGCCGCTCCGTTGCACCCCCGATTTACCTGGGCCCAGCACGGGCGGAGGAGAAGGGGACGAGAGAGAGAGGAGGGGGGGGGCAGAGGCCCTTGCGAGAGGAGTCACGCACCCGAATCTTGCGGCTGATCTCCGTGCCGAGCTCCACTCCGACGTCCATGTCGGCTGCTTGTGTGGCGGAGGCCGCCTCGGGTGACGTCATCGCGCAGGGCAGGCCCTGCGCGATGACGTCACGCGCGCGAACTTACGCGATGACGTCCTCCCCCAGAACTTGAAGGCGGGGTGCCGGTGACGTCAGCGCGCCGACCACGCCGATGATTGCGTGCCCTCCCCCCCCGCCCGTCCGTATATATTATTTATTTCGATTTAAAGCTTTCGTGACTGCAGAGATTCATCTTCTTGGTTCTTTCGGTGACTTTACCGAAAGAACCAAGAAGATATTATTTGTTTCTTATATATACTGTGAGAAATATGCTGTGTAACAATATGTGATAACATCTAAAATATCATAGCCGTCAACCCGTACGGTCTACCTCGTATTCTTGTACAGGGGGAATTGCGTTTTCAGGTCCATAGGGCGTACAGCCGTTTCAATGCGGGCACACACAACAACAAAAGTGTCTATGTGTTTGTGTTTCTCCCTTGTGATGGGAACTTTGTAGGATGAAAGTTGAGATTTACAAGGGGCACGGGGTGACCGATAAGGTCTGAGTTGGTATATAATAAGGTAGGCACTGATAAGGGGTTGACAGGTATGATATAATATCTCATAAAATATATAATATACTGTATGCGATAAATATATGAAGGGACTCCTCTCCTTACGAAGGAGTTAGAGATTACAAAAGTTGTATAATCTCCTGCAGATGTAGATGCCACTGGTTCTTCACGTTCTGCAGATGTAGATGCCACTAGTTCTTCACGTTCTGCAGACGTAGATGCCACTGGTTCTTTATGTTCTGCAGATGTAGATGCCACTGGACCTTCATGTTCTGCAGACGTAGATTCCACTGGTTCTTCACGTTCTGCAGACGTAGATGCCACTGGTTCTTCACGTTCTGCAGATGTAGATGCCACTGGTTCTTCATGTTCTGTAGACGTAGATGCCACTGGTACTTCACGTTCCGCAGATGTAGATGCCACTGGTTCTTCACGTTCTGCAGACGTAGATGCCACTGGTTCTTCATGTTCTGCAGATGTAGATGCCACTGGATCTTCATGTTCTGCAGAAGTAGATGCCACTGGTTCTTCACGTTCTGCAGATGTAGATGCCACTGATTCTTCACGTTCTGCAAACGTAGATGCCACTGGTTCTTCACGTTCTGCAGATGTAGATGCCACTGGTTCTTCACGTTCTGCAGATGTCGATGCCACTGGTTCTTCATGTTCTGCAGACGTAGATGCCACTAGTTCTTCACGTTCTGCAGATGTAGATGCCAATGGTTATTCACGTTCTGCAGATGTAGATGCCACTGGTTCTTCATGTTCTGCAGATGTAGATGCCACTGGATCTTCACGTTCTGCAGACGTAGATGCCACTGGTTCTTCACGCTCTGCAGATGTAGATGCCACTGGTTCTTCACGTTCTGCAAATGTAGATGCCACTGGTTCTTCACGTTCTGCAGATGTAGATGCCACTGATTCTTCACGTTCTGTAGATGTAGATGCCACTGGTTCTTCATGTTCTGCAGATGTAGATGCTACTGGTTCTTCACGTTCTGCAGATGTAGATGCCACCACTGCCATCTACTGCATGGCGGTTGAACTTACGACTCTCGGTCCGAACATGCAACTGGACATACGGACCAGGTTCGGTCGTTTCTCTGAAATCTCCTAAGTCGAATGTTCGCAAGTAAAGGAGTCCCTGTAATAGGCGACATTTCAGGAAATGACCCTTCTTCATGGGCCATAAATAGAGAGGCCTGTGGACAGATCGAGTGGCTAATCAGAGTTGGAGATTGCATTTGGTTTACACCATGGGGTCTGACAACCATTAAATTAGAAACAATTTTCTGATAACATGTTTATTTCATTGGCATATGAATAGTTACACTATGAGTAAAAGTACAGACATACCCTTCGATATTGCAACATGTTTTACTCCGTAAACTATTTTGTATTGAAAGTAAAATTATTCAATGTTGCCGGCACATTGCCTTATGGGTAGTCCTGTTGCCGTGTGGTCAACAAATAAATTACAGAAATACCCCCGATTTACGCCTCTTCCCCCTTTTACATCGTTTCGCAAATACGTCGTTACTTTATTAACACTACCCGATTTGCGTCGTCTCAACCCCACACTTACGTCGCTGGTGGCATCGTCCGTCCATTCTGGTATCCGTCGCCTCTCAGCCTTCGCCTCCACTACCACCACCCGCTGTAAATCGCTTTGATTTACGTAGATTCGGTATTTGGTCGTCTCCACATTTCAGGAAAGCATCCCTGACGTAAACCGGGGTCAACACCGCATTAGCATAACCCTCCTGGTCACCCAATCGCGAAAGCAATTATCATTTCGATAGAATTAAAGAGCCTCGAGTATCCAAGCCACTCAAATCAATTGACCATCAACTCAGCCCCTTCATCTTGTTGCATCAACCGTCTCACTCCACCGTGGCAGGGGGGCAGCCCCCCGGCAATGTGGAGGGAACAACTGTTTTCTGGGGCAGTTCCGCGGTAACTTGCAGTGAGGATGCCACACCAACCCGAGATGATGCCAAATCAGCATACCAAGACGCCCATAGCCACACACCAGTCCGCTCAGTCTGATCCCAGACAATCTGGATAGTTGTTGCCCATGTTTCATCCAGGGGCGGAGCCAGGATTTCAGGCCGGGGTGACATTCAACAAATTTTAATTTCAAGAATGATTAGAGAGTCAGGCTGTTGAACTAGACGCCATCGGTTGGCGACACGCTCTGACAATGCAGTTGCACGGAGTCCGCCAGACCGAGTGTCGTACACTTATACGCAGAATGTCACCCCTGTCACCCGCCCTGGCTCCGCCCCTGTTTGCATCGCCACCTGTCCGGGGGAATTGGATTCTATGTTCGGGTGGCAGGAATGGATGTGTACCCAGATCTGTTTCCGGTCTCGTGTTGAACTTCGTGATAGATTACTGCTATCTTAATAACAGATAATAGACCTCGGCTGACTTATGAATAAGGGTGCTTCAACAAAAATATATCTAAAAAAATGTGCCCCCAGGCTCTGGAGACCACCTGGAGATGATTCCAGACACGTGTTGACAATGATGGCGAAACAAGTGGAGACTCTTCGACTTTTTGACGCTATTAACATACATTTGTTATCACGTTACAGTGTATTATCATCAGTTCTTTTTCCATGAAAAACGATAGTCCCATATACGTGTTAACATGTTTTTGAAGCACCCTGTATAGTCCATGTACAAGTGTCACCGATGGGCAGCAGAGGTGTATGTAAATGGTTTTTCGTTGTTTGGCCAGGTGCAGGTAACATCTCAAGAAACCAGGATGCGTCTCATTTTCCAAGTTGTGACCTGGGGCATTAGTCTGCCAGTCGAGGGGGTAATAATTACAATTCACGATGTACAATCTAAATTGTGTAATTTGTTTCGACTTTGGCACATTTTTCTGACTCTGACTTTGGCCTGCTTCTTGCGAATGATGTCACGGGATCTTTGACGTCCAACTCGTGCGTGTATTATCGTCATAGTTATGACACGCACGGTAATGATCAGGGCGACCGCTGGAATCGAACCGAGAATCTCTGCAACAGGGGTGGACAACCTCTAACAGACCGACAGCCAAAAAAGGTACCCATGAGTACTGCAAAGAGCCAAGTGAAAAATAGATGTGTATATAGAGTTTTCTGCACAGCACGGGAGACATTCTTCGTTATTATTATGTTGCCACGACTGTGCGCGTAGGAGCTGCGTTCGACCTAATGCCCCCTTCCGTAGAGCGGCGTGCGGTGGATTAAAGAGCAGCATTGGGGCTAGAGAGACACCGCCTGCAGTCGACAACAAGCGACGAACGGGTGGGGGCTACGTTGACGGCAACAAAGACAAAGATCCCCCGCATAGCCTTAACAGGCTGTTTGGGCAAGTGCTGTTAGCGAGCACCTATGAAGGCCGGCACGGCACACGAGGGGGTGGGTGGCCAGCCCGAGTGGCGATGTTTACTACACACCGCACCAGGTACTCATCTGAGGTCGAGTCCACCTAGGGGAGGGGCCCAGGACCGGTTCAGATATTCGTCGTCGATGTTTTTGCCGTGAGCGGGAATCGAACCCGGCTCGCTGGGTTCACAGCGTAGCGCTAACCACAACACTACCGCTACCCACCACACACACAACACACACACACAACGCGCACACAGTGACAACACCACAGGCTCAGAGTTGGGCTTTAGTCGTGTCGTCAAAGCGTCTCTTTAATTGTCCAACCTATGGTGATAAACAACAATCGCACGAATCACGTCACAGGTTACACACGGAGTGGTGGGTTCAAACGAGTTGGTCGCACGGTGCACACGTGGTATCGCGCACGCACGCACGCCGAAACGTGACACCATTGAAAAAGACCGCAATCTCTTACACAACACACGACCACCACCACCACCACCCCAGCGCCTATCCTCCTACCGCCCTCACGAATCAATCGCGATAATTACAGCCGAGAATAATAACGATAACCGCCGCTGTGCGTTGTGTGTGTAATCTCGGGTATTTGCAGTTGTTGCTATTGTTGTTGTGTCGCTCGGCGGCGCGAACTTCAAAAATCCATTCGCGCAGCAGCCAAGGGCCGTGTGAACAAGTCGACCAAGTGCCCACGTCGTACTCAAGATTGCGAATGTTGCGGATTTGCTCCCCAACACACCGGTGTGCTGTACTCGCAACGAATTGGCCACGTTCTGTTCACGTGACACAAACATTGCTAATTGGCAGTGTCGGGTGGTGGCGGTGCTTAACGACACATTTATATATTTACGCGATCTAACCCCCCAGCCCCCCCCCCCCCCAAAAAAAACCCCAACCTATGTTATGGATGCACGCGCTGCAAAACCAGACCAGCATTAAAGCCAGGGTGGGGAACATCCTTCCATTTTGTACATCACGCCGACTTCACTTGATCTGCCAGACGGCGGTTAAAGGTTTGAAATCGAGGGCCCGACGAGACACGTGCCGGCTGAAAGATGTGGTGGTGTTTTTTTTCCCCGAAAGTTGGATTCTGCCAGCAAAATAAAAAAAATTCCCACAGAATCGCCCCCCCTCCTCTGTGATGAGGGCCCACCGCATTGACACATGCACGGATACGGAATCACAAAGCGCCCTTTTGTTACCCCCCACTGCTGGATGAGGGCTTTCCAAAAGCCGTCCGGGGGGGGGGGGGTTGTGGGATTTATTTGACCATACTTCACCACGCTGGTTAGTGCCATTTGTACCTGAAAAAATAAAAATATGCTCCCCTTTCTGGCAATAAAACAGGTGGCGTTAAGATGTTCAAACACCAAATATAAATCTTTTGCAAGGAATCATATCTGCATTAACCACAGCAAGGCCGTAGCCAGGGAGTCAACATTGGGGGGGACCAAATCTTCCAAGGGGTCTGAGGGTCCTCCCCCCCAAAAAAATCTAAATTTGAAAACGAATCTCCTTCCATTTCCTGCCTAAAATATAACAAAAATTCACGAACACATGGGATTGACTTATTTTTTACAATAATGTCTAATAGTGTATTGTATTTCATTGCTCTGTTTTTTTCTTTTTTTACCTTTTATTGTTTCATTGTATGTAATGGCAGAGTTTAGGGATTTATCAAGTACAACCATAACCACAAACATATAAACATAAATATATTTTATAGCAATATATCGGGGGGGACATTTTGAGCATATTTATAATATATATTGGGGGAGATGCCCCCCCCCAACATATATTATAATTACCGCCTTGAACCACAGGCCCTAAAGAAGGCTGTCTCTGGTGTAGACCAATCCGTTTCAAAGACAATGCAGATATTATCAGAGCATGTTTTTTTTTGCATGTTCATCGAAAGCACGTGTGGTTAATGCAGATGATTCCTTCACAACTGTTGCATTACCAGAAAGAGTAAAACCTATTCTTATTTGTCATACTTTGATACTGCCAATAAAGATCCCATGGCATTTGCACCGATAAACTTCATATTTATTTTCATGTATATTTACCGACTTGCTTAGTTGTCCCGTAATGTGCACTCCTAACGTGATTTGTATTCCTTGTTGTAACTTTCTGACCCGCCCCCCAAACTGGTCATCTGTGAAAAAGGGCTTTATAGCTCATCGGATTATTCCAGTCTAAACTAAGGTTCTAAATTGAAGGTGTGTGGGGGGGGGGGCACGGATGTACCAGCACAAAAGAACAGTATCACAATGCCCTTTTCCGCACTGCCCTCTTACTGGCCATCACGTGGCAGCAGGCAGCAGCAACCTGTTTGTGCGCAGTGGTGGGTCACCCATCCAAGCACGAGCCAGGCCAAAACCCACACTCAGCTTCCACTTTTAGATGACATTGGGCGCGTTCCGGAACACTGGTTCGTGGGGCAAAATAATTAAACATTTTGAGTTGAATGCAGGGGACAGCCCCAGGTGTCGATTCGTACATCTTGCGCCTACCAAACACGTGCTCCGAACTGACAAGGCGAGGGCTGTGTTAACAAGGTTTACATTGTTTGTACAATCGAGACGTAATTACATACACAAAGCCAAACGTGAAACCGTCCCTCGCGCGCCAGTGCTGCTCATCTCCATTAAAGGCTCTGCTAAACCGGTGGGGAGAATTCCACATTCTCGTGAGAGGTGCCAGTTTTTTCTCTTTTTTTTCCCCCCCATGGAACAACCAACTGAGAGAGAGAGGACTTCTCACAAAGCAGTACTCGTTTTTATACACACCCGAGAGAAGATGAGGCTCCCCGCGTTTAATCCTAAGTGGAGTGATCTGCGCACACAAACGGCACTATCGAACTACAGTATTGAACAATGTAATCGGAAATTGTTTAAACACCCCTCCACCCGCCCCTGCCAAACAATCACATGCAGAAGATGATATATCCACCCGGTCGATTTCAAAGATAAACGACATCGCCTCATATTTAATAATAATCGTGGTAATGCGACACAAACGACCGTGGTTAGAGTGTCACGCTGAGTTTCGCTCGAAAGCCGGGGCAGAACAAGCTGGGGGGCCTTTTAGAAAGACGTGGAGGGGGGGGGGCATTGAAGTGCCTCCTAAACGTCGGTGTAGACTGAAGGCAGCAGTGGGGGGGGGCTACCACAGGCACGATCCGTCCTGGTAGGGACCACGGTCCTGACTGCTTGGGGTAGAGAGGATGTTGTGAGTGACTCTCCTAGTAGTACCACTCTTGCTGTTTTATTTGACCAGGTAAGGACCCCACACTGAGCTGGAGAGTTCGTTTTTTCAGAAGCGACCTGGCCACCACAAATGATTGCTCAACAAAGTGGCTCACCGTGTGGAAATGTATTTCGCAGCCAAATACTCTGAACGCGTGTTTATTGATTCGAAATGTGAAGAATTCACACCACCACGGGCAGAGAGACACGCCAACTTCCTAATATACCAGCGTCTGGGAGTCGGGATCGAACCCACGATCTCCGGTACACCAGGCGAGGTAGTTAACATCCCACCACCGCGGCGCCATCCGCCGCTGTGGAGGGGTTCTAACGTGAGCCGTGGGTGATGGGTGACAAGTGCGGAGAGAGAAATCGGCGCGGTCATGAAGGGGGGCGCGATGCCCAGCGGTGGTGGCGCCGCTCCCTTGGTGCAGAGAGGAGGCTGCAGGACTCACAGCAGCGCGACTCCCGTGTTGCCGTGTTAAGCAAACCCGATTTATAAGCCAGACCTTTTGGCGCAATCGAAAATTGTTTCGATGCCGCGTTACCGAAACGCAACGCGGCATGGGGGGGGGGAATCAAACAGATCAACTCTCGCTCTTCCCAAAGTCCCGGCCGTATTTTTTGCTCGGCATCGCAAAACGAGCAATCCCATCTCTCGCCTTCGGTGGGGCCAACATTCACAGCCGTGCCTCCCGACAGCGGCCGCGTTCGGCGATTGGTGCATGCGCGGGGGAGGGGGGGGGGTTCTTTTTGTTGTTGTTGTCGCAAGGAACTGGATACGTCGGCTGGAAGGTTTCTGAGTTTTAATTGCTTCGGATCGTCACTTCCCAAAAACGAGCGGATAGAGCGGAGAGAGGTAACAACAACAAAAAAGAGAGATGGCCCAGCCCAGCCGTTTGATCACACAGATCCGCAGCGATTGCAGTCATTGGGGAAAACCGTCATCCAGAAACGGCGTGCCAACACCACCCACGCGCACTTCTTCCCGAGACGCAAGGTTCAATCCCTCCGGCTGTCATGTCCCTCGTGGCCACGTGGGTTTCATCTTCTTCTGTTCGCGGACAGAAGAAAATAGAATCGTATCCACGTGTTGCATTAGATTATTACTTTGCATTCTGTTTGGTGCATCTTTTACATTGGCACTGCGCAGTTGGTTTGTGTGCGCTTCACATCACTTAGGTTTAACTGCCGTGCAATTTTAACTCGTCTGTCCCGTTATTTTGATTTAGCTTTTGTACGTTAGGCTTTTGGTGGGGCGGTGGCGCAGCGGTTAGAGTACTGCGCTGACCGTTTTCAGCCTGGGCGATCATATGGCCTGACGTGCAAAGACAAAGATCCCCCCTGGATAGCTTTAAAACTGTTGGGGCCAAGTGCTGTTAGCGAGCACCTATGAAGGCCAGAACGGCACACGAGGGGGTGGGTGACCAGCACCACGCCCAGCCGCCTTTGTCTCCCGAGTGGCGATGTTTTTACGCACCGCACCAGGTACTCGTTTGAGGCCGAGTCTACCTGGCCTGACGTGCACTCAAACACACATCGAGGGGCAGTGCAGTGAGGACATTCGATCACGGGCAACAAGGATTCCCTTTCTGCCGTGGAGTTTGCATTTTCTTCCCCTATTCTGCACGAATCTTCTCCGGGTTCCCCGGTTTCCTCCCATAAGACAAAAATAAACACAACGTAACTGGCATTGGCCAAAAACACCCCGATGCCGAAACATCACCCCCGCAAACGACTCAAAAAGTGGGATCACACACACAGCAAAGATCGCCCACACAATTTTTATGCGTAACATAATCACACAAATTGGTATTTTTCAAAGTACCGTGATCTAATTTAGGCGATTATATTTTTGATTAATCATGGCAAATTAAAACACAACACGTAGACTTTTCAGCTCATGCTATACCTATTAGTAATAACATTTGACAATGCGCGCTCTAGTGAGTCCAGTTCATCACGAATGCGGACTGTGGAGGCGTGTGCTCCATATGCATTGGCTACTTCTGCTGTACTTATAAATCCCAGCTCCTGGCATTATAATTTTCCACATTTACATCGATTTCGAGATCATTTGATTTTGGGGGTTCATTTTCCATGTCAATAAATGGCCAAGGGATGGAACATTTCGGAGAGTACATCCATCTGGGGAGATGGAGCATATGCAAGAAATGAGCACGTGTGTAAGACGCCAGGTGGATTGTTCCGTTACTACATCATAGCATGGGGGGGGGGGGGGGTGGAGGAGGGGGTTGACAGTTGCCTGGTGCAGGCTTTCATCCAGCAGTGGATTTACCATAGCTGATGTTTATGATGCTGATGTAAAGCATTCATAAAAACGGATAAATCTCAACTCAACCGACGAACGTGAAGTAACAATGGCCGATTGCTCATTGTAAAACGAGTATATAGGCGACTTCCCGTACCTGGTTTTTGCAATCCGATTACAGCAACGCGTTACTTGCAGCGCATTACTGTTAACACATTGCTCACCTCCGAAACCTTTGCGTGCATTACCCAACCGTTTCAATCCACTTATCCGAACACGTGCCTGTGAGCAACGACCACCTCTTCTCCTTGCCGTGTTGGTGGGGTTCCTCCCCCCCCACCACCACTGGCTGGCGAGCGTTGACGAGCGACGGTGATTTTAAACTCGAGGCGATCGCGTGACGACGATTTTTTGTTGTTGCGTCACGCCCGAGAAAGTGAAGAACAGCGAGCTAACTACGCGCGAGTCTCTACGCCGAAGACTACCACCACCACCACCACCGTCTCGACGCCACATGGGCGAACGACAGCTTGCCGCACGCCGCCAACAGCTTGGGGCGCCGCGGGAATCAAAGCTGCCCCACGAAAAAAACGCCGAACATACAAACACGCACACGTGTATATAATAATAATATATATTACACATTTAGAATAGATAGCCGTAATAACTTAACACTGCTCCGTATAGTAGTAGTAGTAGTAATAACAGATAATGTAGTCGGAAGTCGTTTTTGCTTTGGGGGGGGGGGGGATGTTAAGACGAACGCACTTTTTTTTTGTACACTCGGGGCTTAATTTCAGCCGGGTATTGCGTGGGGTAAGCGACTCGGCACACCACATCCAGTACACATACATCCCGTATACATGTGTGTGTGTGTATATATATACCTCCAGCTATGGCCTCGGGCTACCACCGTGCCACGTGCCACCCTACTCTGGTCTACCAGCGACCCGGCAAACGTTCAGTGAAAAATAAAAGCCCCCCCCCCCCCCCGAATCGTTCATTGCGATTGTGCCGAAAGAACGGAGAAACCTTGGCCACGTGCTCGCAAGCGCCCGCAATGTTGCGCCGGGCGCGCGCAGACACTGGCGTCTCGTGCTCACACAAGGCGGCACGGGTGGTGCGCGGGTGGCGCAGGTGGCACGGGTGGGATGGGTGGCAGGGGTGGCTTGTCGTGGAAGCCACGGGCGTGTAAAGTGGCGCGGACACCGGCACGCTCGTCGTGTGGGCGAGGCGGGGTCACAGCCGTGCCGTGTCTGCCTCAGGTAATCGAGGCCGGAGAAGAAACTGGGGGGGGGGGGGGGGGGGGGGGGGAGACCCTAACTCCTCAACCCCAAGGACCCTACCCATCTTTCACCGCTAAACTTGCAGCTTAACCCCAGCCCGACAGGGTACGGCGCCAACCTTGGGCCGAGAGCGTGAGCAAGGCCACCGCAGTTCTGGGAGGCTCAACCGGGGAATCCGGTGAGCGGGCAGCCCCCAACGCCTAAAAGTCCAGAGTTTAACCCCATCCCAAACAGCATGAAAGCCTTCCCTCAATTTCCATGGCGCATTCACAAGTGCTGTAATCTTACCACACCAGCCAAACTCGCCTTATTAGTGTAACCGTTCCAAATAAAAACCCAATATTTGGCCAAACCCCGACCATGAGGACTCTTGGCGCCAATGGGTCAGCGCCATCGACCATGGGTAACGGAAACCCGAACCCCACCGCTGCCACCAATTGTGTTAATTTGAGTTTTATGTTGAAGTGTATTTTGACGAGCAAGGCGAGACCGGCGAACGTCTCTCATATTGCACGAGTGACCCGAACGTTCCCCCCCGTGTGCAGGCGGAGCGAGGCGGGACGGGGCTGAATCCCTGCCGACGTTCTCGCTCGCCGACGGCGATCACAAGCGGAGGCAGACACGGTGCCGCCGCCACGCCAGCCCGGCCTGCGCAGACGCTCCCGTTCAAAACCCAGCTTGGCTATCTCTCACCCCATCTCATACGGAGAAACAAAAAAAATCACGGCTTTAGCCGTTTCCCTCCCGCCCACCCCCCCCGATACGGTTTGGCGTTGTACCGGCGTGTTGTTTGGCAAGAGCAACTCGCTTTACGAAAGATCCCCCCCCCCCCCCTAGCATGTGGAGCGAGATGTCAGTCAATTACACAAGTGACAGTTGAACTGTAATCCCCCCCCCCGAGACTGAGACTACATGGGGGAGTGTCCCCCTCCAACCTTGGCGGCTTCAACGCACAAATTCAACGGGCGCCGCCATGGTGACGGCCCCGTGCCGGACTGGCCATGCGTGGTGCTGGGGTGCGCTTCTTCAGGAACTGAAAATCGGCAAGACGTTTCCCAGTGGGCGGAGCGAAACCTCAAGACGTCATGGCGAACGCCGCGCGGTACAAACGGGAAAAACCGCAGAGGAGAACAGCGAAGCGCGACCGCGAAAAACCGACGCGGGCCGTGTTTAACGCTCCCGTCGAAATGTTCAATTACCATTTTTATTTAACCCCGCTGCCGCCATCGCCCGCTGCTCCGCGACCTTTTCACAAGAGAGCGGGTTCGCGCGACTTTTAACGTTATCCTCACCCGGCACGGCAAACCGCAGAAGCCTCCCCCCCCCCTGCCCCCATAACACGGAACCAAGCGAGCCGGCGGTAGAAACACAACAGCGCAACCAGAGCCGTGCCTATCCATCGCTGTACACGGGGCACATCCAGACCGGACTGGCATGGCAGCGGGGGAGAGGGGCGTGAAGGCGGACGAGGAAGGGGTGGTGACCAAAAGCGTGAGTGGCACGGCCCACAGTGAACGGTAGCGGGGAAAGGTCTTACGGATAACGGGGGGGGGGGGCGACTACAGTCGCTCGAGCCTAACTTACTTCACGCAATGAAACCCCTAAAATTATATCTCACAATGCCAAGAAATCCGTGTGGAGGGGACGAGAAGGAAGGCGACGGTGGGCTGGAGAAACCCACGGGGAGACACCACCACCGTAGCAGTAGTAGTCATAATAATAATAATAAGAACGATGATGAGGGCAATGGTGACGACGGGACGAGGGGGTTTGGGGAAGTTGGGGAAGGACCTCTGGGACTCTCTGCCACCTCCGCGTTTACTCCGCCTTGCGCTTGGCACCAGGGATCTTGGCCTGGACCCTGATGGGGGTGAGGGCAGGACAGAGCGATCACGAGTGAGCGCCAACATCCGAGTTACGAGTGAAGCCCCGTGAGAGACAGTGGGTCTCTAAGTGAGCCTGTGGGTCTCTACGTGAGCCTGTGGGTCTCTACGTGAGCCTGTGGGTCTCTAAGTGAGCCAGTGGTTCTCTAAGTGAGCCTGTGGGTCTCTAAGTGAGCCTGTGGGTCTCTAAGTGAGCCCGTGGGTCTCTAAGTGAGCCCGTGGGTCTCTAAGTGAGCCAGTGGGTCTCTACGCGAGCCTGTGGGTCTCTAAGTGAGCCAGTGGGTCTCTACGTGAGCCAGTGGTTCTCTAAGTGAGCCAGTGGGTCTCTAAGTGAGCCAGTGGGTCTCTAAGTGAGCCTGTGGGTCTCTAAGTGAGCCTGTGGGTCTCTAAGTGAGCCAGTGGGTCTCTACGCGAGCCTGTGGGTCTCTAAGTGAGCCTGTGGGTCTCTACGTGAGCCTGTGGGTCTCTAAGTGAGCCAGTGGGTCTCTAAGTGAGCCTGTGGGTCTCTAAGTGAGCCAGTGGGTCTCTACGCAAGCCTGTGGGTCTCTACGCGAGCCTGTGGGTCTCTAAGTAAGCCTGTGGGTCTCTAAGTGAGCCAGTGGGTCTCTAAGTGAGCCAGTGGGTCTCTAAGTGAGCCAGTGGGTCTCTACGCGAGCCTGTGAGTCTCTAAGTGAGCCTGTGGGTCTCTAAGTGAGCCTGTGGGTCTCTACGTGAGCCTGTGGGTCTCTAAGTGAGCCTGTGGGTCTCTAAGTGAGCCAGTGGGTCTCTAAGTGAGCCAGTGGGTCTCTAAGTGAGCCAGTGGGTCTCTACGCGAGCCTGTGAGTCTCTAAGTGAGCCTGTGGGTCTCTAAGTGAGCCTGTGGGTCTCTAAGTGAGCCTGTGGGTCTCTAAGTGAGCCTGTGGGTCTCTAAGTGAGCCAGTGGGTCTCTAAGTGAGCCAGTGGGTCTCTAAGTGAGCCAGTGGGTCTCTAAGTGAGCCAGTGGGTCTCTAAGTGAGCCAGTGGGTCTCTAAGTGAGCCTGTGGGTCTCTAAGTGAGCCTGTGGGTCTCTAAGTGAGCCAGTGGGTCTCTAAGTGAGCCAGTGGTTCTCTAAGTGAGCCAGTGGGTCTCTAAGTGAGCCAGTGGGTCTCTAAGTGAGCCAGTGGGTCTCTAAGTGAGCCAGTGGGTCTCTAAGTGAGCCAGTGGGTCTCTAAGTGAGCCTGTGGGTCTCTAAGTGAGCCAGTGGGTCTCTAAGTGAACCTGTGGGTCTCTAAGTAAGCCTGTGGGTCTCTAAGTGAGCCAGTGGGTCTCTACGCGAGCCTGTGAGTCTCTAAGTGAGCCTGTGAGTCTCTAAGTGAGCCTGTGGGTCTCTAAGTGAGCCAGTGGGTCTCTACGCACGCCTGTGGGTCTCTAAGTGAGCCAGTGGGTCTCTAAGTGAGCCTGTGGGTCTCTAAGTGAGCCTGTGGGTCTCTAAGTGAGCCAGTGGTTCTCTAAGTGAGCCAGTGGGTCTCTAAGTGAGCCAGTGGTTCTCTAAGTGAGCCAGTGGGTCTCTAAGTGAGCCAGTGGGTCTCTAAGTGAGCCAGTGGGTCTCTAAGTGAGCCAGTGGGTCTCTAAGTGAGCCAGTGGGTCTCTAAGTGAGCCTGTGAGTCTCTAAGTGAGCCAGTGGGTCTCTAAGTGAGCCAGTGGGTCTCTAAGTGAGCCTGTGGGTCTCTAAGTGAGCCAGTGGGTCTCTAAGTGAGCCAGTGGGTCTCTAAGTGAGACAGTGGGTCACTAAGTGAGCCTGTGGGTCTCTAAGTGAGCCAGTGGGTCTCTAAGTGAGCCAGTGGGTCTCTAAGTGAGCCAGTGGGTCTCTAAGTGAGCCAGTGGGTCTCTAAGTGAGCCTGTGGGTCTCTAAGTGAGCCAGTGGGTCTCTAAGTGAGCCAGTGGGTCTCTAAGTGAGCCTGTGGGTCTCTAAGTGAGCCTGTGGGTCTCTAAGTGAGCCAGTGGGTCTCTAAGTGAGCCAGTGGGTCTCTAAGTGAGCCAGTGGGTCTCTAAGTGAGCCTGTGGGTCTCTAAGTGAGCCTGTGGGTCTCTAAGTGAGCCAGTGGTTCTCTAAGTGAGCCAGTGGGTCTCTAAGTGAGCCAGTGGGTCTCTAAGTGAGCCAGTGGGTCTCTAAGTGAGCCAGTGGGTCTCTAAGTGAGCCAGTGGGTCTCTAAGTGAGCCAGTGGGTCTCTAAGTGAGCCAGTGGGTCTCTAAGTGAGCCAGTGGGTCTCTAAGTGAGCCAGTGGGTCTCTAAGCGAGCCTGTGGGTCACTAAGTGAGCCTGTGGGTCTCTAAGTGAGCCAGTGGGTCTCTAAGTGAGCCAGTGGGTCTCTAAGTGAGCCTGTGGGTCTCTAAGTGAGCCAGTGGGTCTCTAAGTGAGCCAGTGGGTCTCTGAGTGAGCCAGTGGGTCACTAAGTGAGCCTGTGGGTCTCTAAGTGAGCCAGTGGGTCTCTAAGTGAGCCAGTGGGTCTCTAAGTGAGCCAGTGGGTCTCTAAGTGAGCCAGTGGGTCACTAAGTGAGCCTGTGGGTCTCTAAGTGAGCCAGTGGGTCTCTAAGTGAGCCTGTGGGTCTCTAAGTGAGCCAGTGGGTCTCTAAGTGAGCCAGTGGGTCTCTAAGTGAGCCTGTGGGTCTCTAAGTGAGCCAGTGGGTCTCTAAGTGAGCCTGTGGGTCTCTAAGTGAGCCTGTGGGTCTCTAAGTGAGCCTGTGGGTCTCTAAGTGAGCCAGTGGGTCTCTAAGTGAGCCTGTGGGTCTCTAAGTGAGCCAGTGGGTCTCTAAGTGAGCCAGTGGGTCTCTAAGTGAGCCTGTGGGTCTCTAAGTGAGCCAGTGGGTCTCTAAGTGAGCCTGTGGGTCTCCAAGAGAGCCAGTAGGTCTCTAAGTGAGCCTGTGCGTATCTACCTGGCACACCTCTCGCTATGGATGTGGCTACTTAGTCCCATGCCACCTGTGTTCCAGTCAACCAGCGACCCGGAAAATTAGGTGAAAATTTAAGCCCAGATCTCTGACCGTCATGCCAGCAGGACTTCACAAACACCACAGTCGGATTGGCAGGTCGTGTATGGCGAGGCAACGTGTGGGTCCTCCGACCTCTTCAAAGACATATGGCCAGCGTGGAAGAGTAGGCCAAATACCCTCCTCTCTAAAGGGGCTCTCGAGAGCTCCCCCCCCCCCCCAAGTGGAAGGCATTCCGCCGGCGGTGGCGCGAGCAAGCATATTGCAGGGCCGTGCAAATATCGCGATCCGCTTCTCAACGTCGCATAAAATTTCACGTCACAGTGCGGGGGTGCGAGAGAGAGTTGTTGTTTTGTGCTGTCGTTGGCTTACTTGGCGATGACGCCGTTGAGATTGCTGCGAGCCAGGGCCAGGTAGTGATCGATCTGTTTCTGCGGGGAGTGGGGGCGGCAAGGCGGCGGAATATTTGGAGTGAGGTGCAGGGAACCCGGAACGCGCGGCACGAGCGTTCAGCCCTTCGGTGTCAGCGTCTTCCTCCTGCACAGCTCAACCGAGAAATCTGTGTGCGTGCGTATGTGTGTATTTCGTTGTGGGAGAGCGCTTGTGTAGCGGCGAGCACGCTGCGCTACGATTCCCGTTCACGGTCAACACCAGTGACGCTTACGTGAACCGGTCCTGGGCCTCCCCTAGGTCGACTCAGCTTCAAATTAGTACCTGGTGCGGTGTAGTAAACGCCGTCACTGGGGAGACAAAGGCTGCCGGGCGTGGTGTTGGCCACCCACCCGCTCGCGTGCCGTGCCGGCCTTCAAAGGTGCTCGTTAACAGCACTTGCCCCAACAGCCTATTATTAAGGCTATACGGGGGATCTTTGTGTGTGTGTGCGTTACCTGATACTTTTCGTAAACGACGGGAGCTGTGAACAGGGTCAGGACACCTGCAGCGACACAGGGGGGAGTAAGGGAAGCAAATAAACAATTGAACATCCACACGAAATGACAGCAGGTGGCTCAAATGACTCGTCACGTGCGTGCCTTAAAAAAACCGATAACTACTTTTTTTTTAGCAGCAGGCAAGTCCCACTGAGCTACACAGCTCTTTGTCAGAAGCAACCCGGCCACAAGTGATAGCTCCACGAAGTGGCTTATCACGCCGAAATATGTACCAATCCGGAGGACCCGGAGAGAGACAGGCAAACGCCAAATATACAGCAGCAGGCGTCAGGGTCAGGATCGGACCCACGACCTCCTGTATACCGGGCGAGAGAGTCAACATCTCATAGCCACCGCGGCGCCCAACGAGCGCTGAGCTAGCAACATTAACATCTCAGAATCTCAGCAGGTTATTCGCCCGGCTAATGCTCGACCACGGTGTATGCAGCAGGCGTCATAGCCTGCGGGGGGGCTACGTTGTGGGCGTCCGAGGGCGGTGCAGAAAAATCCGCCGTTGTGCAATGCTATGGCTCCCAGCCCTCACCGACCCACACCGAGACCAGCGTGGTGACGTACGGGTAAAGGAGGATCCGCAAGACACGCACGGCGTTGGGGATGACCTTCATTCAGCAGTGGAATGGCGATGGCTTCACGTGTACAGGTGAAACAATGTGGCAGTTACAGAGCCAGCAAGAGAAACGCCGAACCCTGAGAGCACTTAACAATATCCCACTGCTAAGCTTGTCCACATACCCAAGCTGTTACATTCCGAATATGTTTTGGTTTTATTTTCAATCATAAACCTCGTAAATCCACTGCCGTGTCCGGTCGCGGGGGTTGTTCGACCATACTTCACCACGCTGGTCAGTGTGGGTTGGTGGAGGGGGCAAGGCAGGACCAGTTTCGGATATCACCCTGAAGCCTCCAATGTTAGCCGTGGCCGGTGATCAAAAGCAACTCTGGTGATCCTCTCAGCGGCTTCCAGCTGACCATCGAACAAAGACCGTCACTGCGTCTCGCGCTTTCAGACGCGCTTCTGTGGCCGTCTGGAACGCTCTCCCTTCCGATATTAGGAAGCCACTGGAGCTACGCACTTTTACATCTCAATTGAAAACTAATTTTACTACAACGGGCTTTGTTGTGTTTCTTTTGCTGTCCTTCCCCCGATTAGCACGGCTGGCTAGGTACGGTGCAAAAGAAGTTCAACACACATAAACTACAAAAACCAAGGATGCCGCACTCACCTAACAAGAAGGGGGGGGGCAGTGATAAAACAACATTTTAAAAGATTCACATTAAATCGGCAGCAACCTAGCACAGCCAATGACTATAAATGCCACGGCACCGACTTAAAATAGACCATCTGCTTTGGCTAAATTAAGGTGCGATGAGGCGAGATATCATTACGGGGGCGCGCCCGTGCGATATTTCCAAGTGCACGGAGGGAGATGCTCTGTTTACACTTCGCACACGGTTGGCCTGGAGGCTCTCGGGGCCTGCACAGACCTGTCGCGCCCTTTAATATATTTACCTCGTCAGGTGGCTCAGCGGTAGAGCGAGCGGTTCAGAGGTCAACTCCCTGCTAGGGGTTGACTCATCCCATCATCCCCCGCGGGGCCGATTAAAATGAGCACTGCTGTGTGGGGGAAATGGGGGGTATAACTCCTCTTCCAAGACTGGCCACTGTGGAAGAATAGGCCAAATATCCTCCAGCGGGGTTCTCTTGAGACCTTCTCTCGAGCTCCCTCTCGAGAGAGCGGAGCAGCGAAAAATATTGTTCTAATGTACTTCTATGCCCTCACATCCATGCTCTCAAGCTCCAGCAACCCGCAATGACCAGCGCGCGCGGTGGTGTTACGGTCAAAAAGGTGGTTTTCCGATAGGAGAGATTCAGGCCTTGCCACGGGAATGTGGAATTTCTCATGCGGGTTTCAGGGTTGTAATCATTTGGACTCTTGACGTCAACCGATTGTTGATCGCAGGAGCTTGTGTTGAACGCAATACCGCCGAAAGGATGATCTCCCAGAAGGCCGTGTGACTGATGGGATTTGTGAAGTAACAGATTTATTTTTTCTGTGGAGGGACAGATGTGTGAAAGGAGATGGACTGTCTGCTTATTTATTGTATTACTTTTATTCTCCGCAATGATGCGGATGATTATTATTTTAAGTTGCGATGAAAAAATTGTATACTGTGGGAGGAATCGAATGAGCTATAAAAAATATTTTTCACAGATGCCCAGTTGGGGTACGGGGTAAGAACGTTACAACAACAAACAGTACAACAACACGATAGCAGTGCAAAGTACAAGAACGGTAAACAAATCGCCCAAACACAGACAAATAAAATTAAACCATCGCCATCCTTGCATATACTTTGCACGAATCGTATATAAGGAAACACAATAAAAAATCTACACACTCATCAGAGGGCCCTTCGGGTATTTGGTTTTATCTTACAGACAACTGACTGTGGTTGCACCCATTTGTACGAATGGACAGGGGCACCTGCAGGGTTGGGGATTTTGGAAATTCGCCCGTTCGTTTCAGCTGCCGCGCCAGTAGATCGAATCGAACCAGCAACTTCTGCACCGCTCACCGTTACGCCACCCTGGTTCGAGTTAATGTGGGGCGCTACGGTGGCGAGATGTTAACTACCTCTCCTGGTATACAGGAGGTCGTGGATTCGATCCCAACCCTGAAACCTGCATATTTAGAGTTTGCATGTTCTCCCCGTGGTCGCGTAGATTTTTCTCAAGGTCAACCCCCGGTTTTTCCCGCCACATTTTCCATCAAGATGTTTTTAGAGTATTTGGCTGCTTTACATTTCCACGCGACAAGCCACTTCGTTGAGCTATCATTTGTGATGGCCAGGTCGCTTCTGAAAAAAGAGCTACGTAGCTCAGCGGGGCATTACCTGGTGAAATTAAAAAAAAATGCTTAGTTCGTAATTTAATAGAATATTGGAGAGACTGCGGGAGAAAATGTTCCACGGCGAGAAGGCAATCGTACCGAGGATGAGAAGGGTGAGGCCGTTGAAGATCGCTCCGATGTAAGTGAGAAGCCACATGAGAACAGCGAACTGCACGCACGCGCACACACACACACACAGACAACGAGCCCCATTAAGCCTCGGACTGTTTGGGGCAAATGCTGTTAGCGAGCACCTATTAAGGCAGGTACGATGCGCTAGGGTCTGGTGTTGCCAGCACCACGCCCAGCCACCTTTGTTCCCCCAGTGCTAATGATTTACACACCACTTAAGAAACTCGTTTAAGGCCGAGGCCTGATGAAGCTAGTTGTAATTACTGGCGAAACATCGTACTCAAAGATTGTAAATGTTGTGGCTTGGCTCTCCAACCCACCGGTGTGCTATACTAGTGACGAATTGGCATGTTCTGTTTACGTGACAACCCTTACTAGTTGGCTGTGTCGGGTGGTGGCGGGTTTTAACGACACATTTATATATTTACGCGATCTAACCCCAAAAAAACTATTATGAACAACAACTACAGCCGCCATTCGCCACTAAACGGTGGTGACATCACCAGGGCTGTTTGTGCCAGGCCGGGTGCACTCCGAGGCCACGTGAAGTGCCAAAGGCTCGCTGGCAGGAGGTCACGGGACAGACCCAGGTGCGATGGGTTGACTGAATGAGATGACTAGCGGATAAACCACCTGTGGCCCCCACTGTGCCACCTCAACGTTTTAGCCGCCCGGCGCTCCACTCGTTGTTGTGAATGTCGGCGATCTGCCCTCCGTTGTAGTTGGAAGTCGACTGTCCTTCACAAGCCTCCTCCACAACTCCGAATCCTCCCATACTGCATTAGCTCCATCTCTTTTCTAACACATGCCTTTGCCATTTAGCCCCCTCTATCCGGCCAAACAGAAGCTGTCTGACATGGATATGTGAGCTACATGACCCAGCCAAGATATTAAATAGTGTAAGGGCCAGATGACATAACGATTGCACCCCAAGCACCACACACAATCACAACAACATCCACCAGTCGCCACTAAGTGATGTTGACGTCACCACAGCTTTTGTGCCAGGCTATGTGTGTATATACATGCCAGTGCAGTGCCATGCCGTGCCATGTCATACGGTGTGTTCTGTAGTGCGACGTGTGGACTAGTGTGGCGTGTGGACTAGTGTGGCGTGTGGACTAGTGTGGCGTGTGGACTAGTGTGGCGTGTAGTGCGGTGCAGCACCTTGAGCGAGTCGACGAGGTCCTCCACCAGGAAGAGGCGCCGGAGCTCACGCACGACCGCGTTGAAGCGCGCGAGAGCGACGTCCAGGTGCGTCTCTACGGTGGCCTGCGACACGCCCAGATCGCACTCCAGACATGCCCTGCACACACAGCATAGACAAAGATCCCCCGTATAGCCTTAGCGGACCGTTGGGGCAAGTGCCGTTAGCGAGCACCTATGAAGGCCGGCACGGCACACGAGGGGGTGGGTGACCAACACCAAGTGGCGATATTTACACATCACACCAGGTACTCATTTGAGGCGTAGTCGACCAAGGGGAGGCCCAGGACCGGTTCAAATAATCACCACCGGCAATCGAACTCGGGTCGGCGGGTTCGTACCGCAGCGCGCTAGCCGCTACACTACCACTCCCCACGCACACGCGTCCAAAGAGAAAGATCCCTGGTATGGCCCGTTGGGGGGAAAGTTCTGTTAGCGAGCAGCTCTTGGACCGACCCTCACTCCTACGCGTAACTCGGTCTCCACGGGCGGCACCGCTCACCGAAAGGGGTGCCCGCTGTCGCTCTTCTGCACGGCCTGTAGCACGGACTTGTAGACGCGGAAGCTGACGGTGACGGAGAGCACGGCGAGGCAGACGTAGCACACGACGCTCACGACGCTGAACTGCGTGAGCGCCAGCAGCAGCACCGTGGTGGCGCCGAACACGCCGGCCGAGCTGCGCACGTCGCGCCAGTACACAAGCTCCACGGCTGTGCGGTGGAAAGCGCACGCAGGGAGAGAGGAGGGGGGAGGAGAGGGGGGGGAGAGAGGAGGGGGGGGAGGAGGGGGGGGAGAGGAGAGGGAGTGGAGGGGGAGCAGAGGGGGGGAGGAGAGGGAGTGGAGGGGGGGGGAGAGGAGGGGGGGAGAGGAGGGGGGAGAGGAGGGGGGGGAGAGGAGGGGGAGTGGAGGGGGGAGAGGAGGGGGAGAGAGGAGGGGGGGAGAGAAGGGGGGGAGGAGGGGGGGAGAGGAGAGGGAGTGGAGGGGGGGGGAGAGGAGAGGGAGTGGAGGGGGGGGAGAGGAGGGGGGGAGAGGAGGGGGGGAGAGGAGGGGGGAGAAGAGGGGGGGAGAGGAGGGGGGGGGGAGAGGGACAGGGAGGGGGAGAGGAGAGGGACGTCAGTGGAGATGGCATCAATGTCAGCGACAGTGCCAATGTCATCGCCCGCGACAAAAAGTTTCCCCATGACCGATAGGGTCATGGGGACGCGTGCCCGCGGTGCGGCCGTTAGCACAAAGGACCCTGCAACCCAGGGATCGCCGGCTCCATTCCATCTCCAGGTGAGGCAGTTTTTAAACAACGGCGCAAGTTCCTTGAACCCCCCACACTGCCACCGCCGCCGCCTCTTGTCCAGCCAGCGGTCTATTACGATGGGTACAGCGCAGGTCGCGGACGGTTCTTGCGCAACGTGCGTAGCCAACCGTGCTAATCGGCGGTGCGGGAAAAGGAAAACTAAACGCAAAACGAGGGTCTGAAGAAATGAGATTGTCAATCGAGGTGATGATTTAAAAGTGCCATAGCTTTCCAGTGGCTTCCTAATATGGGAAATAAGAGACCCATAGAGGCCCACAGAGTTCCACAGAGACCGATACCCACATGAATGTACGTTGAACTTCTTTCCCATCGTGCGTAGCCAACCGTGCTAATCGGAGGTGCGGGGGGAAAAGACAAGCTAGACACAAAAAATAGTAAATAAATTAGTTATAAATCTAAATGATGATGTAAAAATGCAAATCTCCCAGCGGCTTCCTAACATGGGAAGGAAGAGCGTTCCAGACGGCCGCGGAAGCACATCTGAAAGCGCCGCGCGATGGCGGTCGACCGTCTTTGTTCGACGGCTCCTTCGGCGAAAGGGGAGGAGGAACGGCAAAACTTGGCGCAGTCTCTCCCGAAGGCCTCCTGTGGTGGCGAGCAGCAGACCTAGACGTTTATCATTCAGCTCCCGAACACGTTTCCATAGTACGCGAGAACGGAATTGCCGTTGCCGCCACAGTGTCGACATCTCCAGGCGCATGACCTACATTAAACGCTTGTTTATACCCACGATTAAAATGCATCCCAATTTCGGGGCCAAGCGAGTCACGTGACGAGGGAGGCACAAAATTGCGTCGATCCTAGAGCCCGTGCAATCAACAGAGACTCCATGTCACCATGCCACGGTCGCCCGTAGCCCTGGGTTCAAAGGGTGGCTTCTCCTGGACTTGAACAGAGGCTCTTTAAGCAGTTGTGGCTCTACAAAACTAAAACTGTGAAACTACTTTTTTTATTTTACCAGGTAAGACCCACAGAGCTACACGGCTGCTTCTCAGAAACGACCTGGCCACTAATGATAGCTCAACGAAGTGGCTTGTCGCGTGGAAATACAGCAGGGACCTCTTTTGTCTTTGTGCACCTGTGCGCCTACACATACACGCGTGTGTGCAAACAGTGCCCGGCCTGGTATGGCATGCCTGAACACGACGTTGGCGTCTCCCAGGAGTGTCACAAAGTCAGCGGAACATTCCCGTCCGTCTAGCGGGGAAGGTTCTCGCCACACGCGGCACAACGGTCGCTACGCGTATGTATCGCTGAACTTCTTTCGCACCGTACGTAGCCAACCGTGCTAATCGGAGGTGCTAGGCTGAGACCACTCCACAGTGGGCAGATTTACCATGTGCTGTGGTTGTGAGATGTTAACTACCTCGCCAAGTATACAGGTCACGGTTTCGATCCCGAGCCTGATGCCTGCTATATATTTGGAGTTTGCGTGTCTCTCTCACCATGGTCATGTCGATTTTTCCCCGGATCCTCCGGTTTTTCCCTCCACATTTAGAATCAACATGTGTTTTAGAGTATTTGGCTGCTATACATTTACACATGATGATAAGCCACTTTGTTGAACTTTCACTTGTGGCCAGGCCGCTTCTGAAAAAGAGCTATATAACTTGCTGGGCCTTACCTGGTGAAATGAAGAACAGTTTTAGAGTTCAGTTTTAACAACGCAACAACTGTTTCTTGAACAGCTTTTCTGACGCCATGGGCTCTCCCGTCCGTTAGCATAATCGTCACGATGAGCAGCAAATGCGATGGTTTCACCGTCGCACCGCCTGAGATACGGCGCTGTGGATCAGGACTATCCGTTAAGGCAACCACCCTCTTTGGTTCTATTCGGTAAAGTCACGTAGGTAAAAAACAAAACAACATAAAAAATCACGACGTTTCGGCCACAACACAAGTGGCCTTCATCAGCTGAAGGGACCAACCTGTCCAGAGGGTTGGTCCCTTCACCTGATGAAGGCCACTTGTGTTGTGGCCGAAACGTCGTGATTTTTTGTTGTTTTGTTTTTTACCTACGTGACTTTACCGAATAGAACCAAAGAGTATGGATCCTTGCAGTCACGAAAGCTTCAAATCTAGAAAAGGCAACCACCGTTGGCAGTTTCACAACTGCGGTGCCGTTCAGGTTGTGCACGTGCGGCAGCCCTCTTGTCCATCCACTGCTGGATGAGGGTCTACCCACGTCGTGCGGTATCGTGGGGCTATTCGAAAATGCTTCATAAGAATTACAGGGACTCCTCGACTTACGAACGAGTTAGGTTCCAGAGGTCTGTCCGTAAGTCGATTTATCCAACTCGACTCCTGTTCATTCCAAAGATGTTGTATGGCATGTATACAAAACACGGGGTAAAGGCTTTAAACGTTGTATAATCTCCTGTAGATGCCACTGGTTCTTCACGTTCTGCAGATGTAGATGCTACTGGTTCTTCACGTTCTGCAGATGTAGATGCCACTGGTTCTTCACGTTCTGCAGATGTAGATGCCACTGATTCGTCATGTTCTGTATATGTAGATGCCCTGGTTCTTCCCATTCTGCAGATGGAGATACCACTGGTTCTTCACGTTCTGCAGATGTAGATGCCACTGATTCGTCATGTTCTGTATATGTAGATGCCACTGGTTCTTCACGTTCTGCAGATGTAGATGCTACTGGTTCTTTACGTTCTGCAGATGGAGATGCCACGGGTTCTTCACGTTCTGCAGATAGAAATGCCACTGGTTCTTCACGTTCTGCAGATGTAGATGCTACTGGTTCTTTACGTTCTGCAGATGGAGATGCCACTGGTTCTTCACGTTCTGCAGATGGAGATGCCACTGGTTCTGCACGTTCTCCAGATGTAGATATCACTGGTTCTTCACGTTCTGCAGATGTAGATGCCACTGGTTCTGCACGTTCTGCAGATGTAGATGCTACTGGTTCTTCACGTTCTGCAGATGTAGATGCCACTGGTTCTTCACGTTCTGCAGATGTAGATGCCACTGATTCGTCATGTTCTGTATATGTAGATGCCCTGGTTCTTCCCATTCTGCAGATGGAGATACCACTGGTTCTTCACGTTCTGCAGATGTAGATGCCACTGATTCGTCATGTTCTGTATATGTAGATGCCACTGGTTCTTCACGTTCTGCAGATGTAGATGCTACTGGTTCTTTACGTTCTGCAGATGGAGATGCCACGGGTTCTTCACGTTCTGCAGATGGAAATGCCACTGGTTCTTCACGTTCTGCAGATGTAGATGCTACTGGTTCTTTACGTTCTGCAGATGGAGATGCCACTGGTTCTTCACGTTCTGCAGATGGAGATGCCACTGGTTCTGCACGTTCTCCAGATGTAGATATCACTGGTTCTTCACGTTCTGCAGATGTAGATGCCACTGGTTCTGCACGTTCTGCAGTTGTAGATACTACTGGTTCTTCCCGTTCTGCCGATGGAGATGCCACTGGTTCTTCACGTTCTGCAGATGGAGATGCCACTGGTTCTTCACGTTCTGCAGATGTAGATGCCACCGATTCTTCACGTTCTGCAGATGTAGATGCTACTGGTTCTTTACGTTCTGCAGATGGAGATGCCACTGGTTCTTCACGTTCTGCAGATGTAGATGCCACTGATTCGTCATGTTCTGTATATGTAGATGCCACTGGTTCTTCCCGTTCTGCAGATGGAGATACCACTGGTTCTTCACGTTCTGCAGATGTAGATGCCACTGATTCGTCATGTTCTGTATATGTAGATGCCACTGGTTCTTCACGTTCTGTATATGTAGATGCCACTGGTTCTTCACGTTCTGCAGATGTAGATGCCACTGGTTCTTCACGTTCTGCAGATGTAGATGCCACTGGTTCTTCACGTTCTGCAGATGTAGATGCCACTGGTTCTGCACGTTCTCCAGATGTAGATATCACTGGTTCTTCACATTCTGCAGATGTAGATGCCACTGGTTCTGCACGTTCTGCAGTTGTAGATACCACTGGTTCTTCACGTTCTGCAGATGTAGATGTCACTGGTTCTTCACGTTCTGCAGATGTAGATGCTACTGGTTCTTTACGTTCTGCAGATGGAGATGCCACGGGTTCTTCACGTTCTGCAGATGGAAATGCCACTGGTTCGTCACGTTCTGCAGATGTAGATGCCACTGATTCTTCACGTTTTGCAGATGTAGATGCTACTGGTTCTTTACGTTCTGCAGATGGAGATGCCACTGGTTCTTCACGTTCTGCAGATAGAGATGCCACTGGTTCTTCACGTTCTACAGATGTAGATGACACTGGTTCTTCACATTCTACAGATGTAGATGCCACTGGTTCTGCACGTTCTCCAGATGTAGATATCACTGGTTCTTCACGTTCTGCAGATGTAGATGCCACTGGTTCTGCACGTTCTGCAGTTGTAGATGCCAC